TTTCTGGATCAGAGCGTACGCCGTTCTTTCCGACGATGCACCCAAGAAGTGGTATTTCGCTAGGTGCGAATATACACTCCTTGAGGTTGGCGTACAACTTGTGCTCGCGCATAAGTGTAAGAACCTTACGGACGTGGAGTCTATGGACTTCCACGTCTGTTTTCCCGTCCATAGCCCGACTATTGACGAACACATCATCGAAGTAACTCGGTGCGAATTCGCGCACCGGTCTCAATAGATGTGAAACACATCTATTGAATGTGGCTGGTGCATTACTAAGCCCTTGCGGCATCAACAACCATTCCCAGAGAATAACACTGGGAGTGCTCACTGCTGTGTACAGGATTTCCCGTTCACGCATTAGGATCTGATAGAATCCATCCATCAGATCCATGGACGAAAAGATGGTACTCTTAGACATACCATCTATGATTACGTCCTTTCTCGGTATCGGCGTTTGCGCCGGTATCGTTGCAGCATTCAACTTGATGAACGCGTGACTATCCGCCACATTCCTGTGTACTATTCGCCCCCTTCCTGTGTCCTTGCGCACACAGAAGGTCGAAGAGCTGCGAGGGAAGTTGACTCCCTAACATGACCCGCAGCTAGGCGCTTGACTTTACCACTACGCAGATCACGCAAGAACCTTTTTAGGTTCTAACGTGGGCAACTGAGTTGCCTCTGAAGTCAACTTCGGAGGCGCCATCAAATTAAACGTACAAGCGTCTACGTTTGATCCATCATGAACCAAGACGTTCAACGTCTCGGTTATTTCCTGGGGACTTATTCTCTCAGGCTCGATGGAACTTATTTCATCGACTTCCTCTAGCTGTGGTGGCGCAACCACAGCGAGATCCCCTACGATCAACGCTCCAGTTGTTCTATGATTACCGTGTTGCCGCTTCTGGGCAACCGGTTTACTCTTCGGTGAATGCTGCCCTCTAGGCGAGCATTCATGTCCCATTCCACTCGGCTTATTCGAGTGGTGGACCTTCATCACTGCCTGTGCTTGTACACAGTACACAGTTGCCGGCAGCTTGCTCCACAGTATGACTATCTAACACACTGAGTTCTTGGGCAGTCGTACTGACGAACGGACCACAAGTGAGGCCATCGCCCTTACTCGTAGTACATTCACAAGCGAGGCCATCGCCCTCACTCGTAGTACATTCACAAGCTTGTGAACGCTCCAATACGTTCATCAGATGGCCAACTGATGAACAAGCGGTAGGCATCTTCACGGTTCGATGCTGTCAGCTGACCCATGGATCTTACCTTCTGAGCTATGGTAATCCTAGGATGACATCAAATTTGTCATCCAGGTCAAGTACGATTAAATCATCATCGTACTTTTTGCTTTCAAGCGTGTAGTGAATTCCCACTACACGTTTCTTTACTGTTACGGATGCGCCAGTTGCAAGATGCACCGTCATCCTCGTTGGAGGGCCCTCGCGCTCAACATATTTGAGCCTACGATCATCTAGCGATTGGCATTGAACAAAGTTGTTCGACGCCCTGCAATCAACTAGGTCGCGAAGTGACATGTTCTTTGTCACTTCGATCTTCAAGGTGATGAGGGATACCTCATCACTAGGAGCGGCAACACACAGTGACTGTGTGTTGGGAGCAACCTTCGTCAAGAGTCCCGCGAACTCTCTTGACGTTGTTAGATCAGTAGGGCGCTCCGCCCCTACTGACCTCGACCGTTTTTTGATGTTCCATCACGTTGTTGCGATTTCGCAGCAACGTGGGACCCACGTCTCTGGCCCTTCTTGGCAGACGGTCGATCGTCACTCCCAGTGTTACGAGACACTGGGTGGGGGGGCACTACACTCATAAGCGTAGTGGCCCAACTTCTGACATCGATTGCACTTTTGAAATCGCTTGTACCCTGGAGAGCGAGGTCGCTCGCTCTCTACATAGGAGAAGTCCATTGGTTCTGGACCTCCGCCCTCCTGTCGTCTCGGTGAACGATAGGACCCCGAGTGGACGTGAGCCTGTTGCAGGCGTAAGTCCTCCTGTTCCGCTGCCGAGATCGTTTGGTCCAGCAATTCTAGTTCCAAGCGGAACAGGTGGGTCTTGACAGGACCTATCTGTCAGACCCTTGATGAACACAGTAACCTGCGTGTGTTCATCTATTGGGTTCAGCACGATACAACTAACGAGGTATCGTACGTGTTGGGCGTAAGCGTGTACATCACGCTTACCCTGTTTCAAATCCAGGAGCTCAGCTGGAGCCCTGAATTCGGCGCGAGGCGGTTCAAACGTATGTTTGAGCCGCGCCTTGAAGAAATCATACGTTGGGAAAACGTATGGGTCATGCAGTTTGAGCCCTAAGGCCCAAGCTTTGGCACGTCCTGCCAAGTTCGACATGGCGAACTTGACCTTCATCGCATCGTCATCGATGCGACGAGCCTCAATGGCATCGTCGATGTCGACGAACCATCTTAACAAGGAGTCGCCTTCGACTGCCTTGTACTTGGAGACATCAATCTTCAAGTACTCGGGTCGACGTACATGCGTCGACCCGGCAGCAGCAATACTAGCCTGCTCTTGGCTTTACAGTTCATCCTGTTGAACACCCTGCTGCATCAACAAGTCAGCTTGTTGAGAATTCTTCTGCATCAACAGGTCAACCTGTTGAGAACCTTGCTTCTGTAGCAAGGTGAGTTTCTTTACAACTTCGTCAAATTCATGTTCTATGAACTCGGCGATGGTTGCATGTCGGTCGTCTCCGCTAAGAGAGAGCAACATGGCACCAACGGCAGGGTTGCCGATGATTTCAGCCATACGCTGAACCGCATTTCATTCGAGGTCACTCAAATGGCGAAAGTCATCACGCGTTGCGTGATGACGTTCATCACCCGCTGATTCCATAGCGGATGGTGCGGTGGTCGCTAAACGGACCACAAAGTGCTACCAGGTGTAATGGGGCACCCTCCGACTATACTGTGATGTAGTGGGATTCGCAAAATTGCTGATGCGTTTCCAACTCTCCACTGGCGCCCAGACGACCGACTATCGAAGGGGGTACTCCGTTTCCGTGTAAAGCAATTCCTTCCTCACATTGTGTACCCGTCGGTAGGGCGGGTTGCACTCTTCTCGGTGGACTTGAGTCGATGTTGATCCTAATCGGGTTAGGGATAGGGGGTTTTGGTGATCTTGTGGAAATCTTCACAAGAACGACCGAGTAATTGTTTGTTGATCGTACCAATAGATCCCAATAGTCCAATAAGGCGAAGCTTGAATCTTCTGACCACTTGAGCAGAACCTTCTGACCACTTGATCCGTCCTGCACTTGCTTGCCTTGTCCTTACTTGTTATTTTTGCGTCCGATCGCAGTTGAGTTGTTGTGTTGAGAATTCTTGCAATCCCTGGCCAAACAATCCAGGGATATGACTTGCGTAGTATGTAGACTTCCTTGAGACGTCGGGTGGCCAAAAAATCCAGCCCGGAAGAGAAGTCGACACGTGTACTTAGAAGCAAATTGAACTTTCTTAATGATTACCAATCAAATACCAAAACCTATGATCCTGCCTATCTGTAGCTCAGGATCTATTGCCACGTATCGCCCTTTCGGAAAAATCAGATCTTGTAATGTGGTCCACTCCAATATCGCCGCGATCAGGATCGCTACCTTGCTCAGATCTAATACCATTTTTGTATCAGATCGCGGTACTAATATTTAGTATCGGATCGCGGTACTAGAAAATTAGTATCGGATCGCGGTACTAAATAATTAATATCGGATCGCGGCACTAATATTTAGTACCGGATCGCGCTACTAAATAATTAGTATCGGATCGCGATCCGCCGGATCACGACTTGTCCTCTTCACCGTTTCTCAGGTCATGTAAGATGGTTCATCTATGTGACATGTCATGTCCACCATTCCAGTCCTCCATAGTGACGTGATCCACACCAGACCGTCTTCCACATACTTAGATGTACCCATCCTCCTTCTTAGCGATCGCGTTCACGCGGATCGCCATCGGAAATACTAGAGATCGCAATAGCGTAGTTTCTAGGCCAAATTTGACCCCACATAGAAGTGCAAACTACACCATTCACTGTTTTCCATCCCATTTGACGTCATCTCGAAACCTTTCTGCGAGATCGCAACTCATCAATATTGGCCGCGAGATCGCGACTCGTCAATATTGGCCATTTCGGACTTAACCGAAAATATGTGATCACACTTTGCGAAATTCACTCCTTCACTTCGCCACAATACTGGTTACAGTATAGTCTACTTTCACTGATTACAGTGAAAGCAGGTGCCTCAATTACCTCACGTACACGTGAGCAGAGGAAGTCAATCAACTAAACAAACGCTTAGTTGAGAAGGACTAATAAAACTGTATTTAATATAGTTAACTATCTAATAAAACTAATCTGTTATAATTTATGTTAACTATACTAAACTACAACTAGGTATGCTGACAACTTGCCCTCCACTCATTGCGCGCGTCAATCGGTCATTGTTCAGCGCGTTGGTTGATATGATGGCCCATATCAATCAATGATAGGGCATCTCCAACTTCAAGGAGATTTAGGGACAATATTTATTAGTTATAATAATATTCTATTGACACTTCATATAAGTGTCAATATTATGTAACGGGCTCAGCCCGTTACATGAAGAGTCTTAGGGCTTCATATAGGTTAATTGGACACTGCATAGGCTTGCACCCATGCCTAAAATACATAAGAAACAAGAGAAGACGAGAAACAACAGCAGTAAAAGGATGTCAGGACAGCCCGACCATTTTTTCTCTTCTACTTGCAGAGTAAGATAGATTCTTGTATGCGTCACTTAAGTCTTGAATATAAATTGGCTTTTCAAGATCGGTATGAATTACAATAGTCTTAAGGCCACAAGTACGCAATAAGAGAGATCATGTCAGTTACTTATTTTTAACCAATCAAAACTCGGTCTCGTTTGTTACTGGACTAAAATACAATAGCAGATCCCTTATCATTGATACACCACAAGGACCATGTGCTGGTACTGGGTCGGTTTTCTAGCGCTATTGGCAGCATTTGTGCATGGTAATCAAGTACCTCTTTGTTCTGACCTAAATCGAATGCTTTTCGTCGCTCTAAACTGTTTTTGTATCTCATCAGGCCAAGATGTGGATGAGTTTGACGTCAATAAAGTACCTCACAATAATCAAGTCACGCAAAGACCCAAATGTACTGACATTATCACTCGCTGTATGCTAATTAGCCTCAGGTAACAACGACCTCTACTGGACAAATGATGCCTGCAAGGGATTTCGTCACTTTGGCCAAAGCGTTCATCCCCTTCCAGAACCGTACGTCTACTTTGGTCAATCGTCTGCGATATAGGATTCTGGTTACGTGCTAACTTTTTTGTACGTTTCTCTACTGCAGCGGACAGCTTTGTGATTGAAGCTAGTAGCTGGGGCTTTGGCGTCCTCTCTGTAGTGCTCTACATTGTCGGTAAAGCACACAACCGTAAAATTGCGGACAAGTGGTACGAAAGACTCGTGATTTAAGGACAAAAAGACTGTTGCTAGAGTCTAATTAAGTGTTGATACGAAGGCTGGAGGAAGCAGAGCCGGTGCTGCGAACCCAATTTTCATACACGGGGTCCTCGGTAGCAAACGGCATGGGTCTGATCGAAGAAAGTCGAAGCAACTTCAAGTACTTTTGTACAGGCCGGCGCTTCTTGACGCGATTCGTTGCTGACTTGGAGGTACTCAGCAGTGTTATTCTGTTACGATGACGTCTTACGCTAATCTTTTTCGTTTTGTTTTGTTATAGTTGAAAGCTCGTCACAACCTCATCTCTTGCATGTACGGCCTCATTGTTCCGACGTCAGACTTCTTGGTAGATACACATACAATGGCAACATCATATTAGTTTAGTTGCTTGATGCTAATCGACAACGAAAATGCTTTTGGATGCGCCTAGACGATCGACGTTGGTCTTCGCGGAGAGGAAGTGGACCCTTTTATCCTTGGTATCAGTAAGAAGCTGGGCTTCACTGCGTTGTCCAAGATTTTTGCTGAGCTGGTACGCTTTGCTTACTGTTGCTTACATTTCGCGGCAAAGTTCCAACATTTTTCTTGATGCTGTCTGTAAACTAGATTGAAACAGCCAAGCAGATTCCGGTTAAGGAGGTGCCTGAGTCGATGTGGGTTGTTACGGACTGCACCGAAATTCCTAAGGCTGCTCTAACGCACTCCGTACTGGCGGTAAGACTTACTTTGCTGGCATTAATTCTCGTCTATATGCCTTGTTGAAGTAACGCTAATATTTTATCGGCGTCTACCATATATATGTATACGATGCAGTCGCTTAAAGAGCTGGAAGACTTTCTCGAATACATTGTGATCACTGACATGAATAAGCTGCCTATAATGTGGGTGTTCTTCCTTTTGCAGGTATTAAGAATAATGCTAACTATTTGTGTGCTGGTTGTCATAGCGGTATGCCAAAGTCGCAAAAGCACATCCTACGAGCTCGCTTTAAACTCCAGGCGGGTTCAAAGACGTTAGACACGTCGAAGGCGCTCCAGCTCATATTTACCCTGCTTGATGGTGCTGGAGGCTCTATGAAGCTGTCACCAAACGTGCGTTGCCGGCTTTCTGCTTTTGCGCACTGGTTCCGTGTGTCATTGACAACATGTATCTGTCTGGCGCAGGCAAAGCACAGCGCGATAAAGAGACGTTTAAAGATCGAGCAGGCTGTCGAGGCCCTTACTTCCGCCCAGGAAAATGTATGGTGCTAAGCTAATTTGTTCTTTTGCATCGCTGATGCCTGACGTTGCCATCGTACTGCTTTTTGCAGGGTGTCGCCACTCGCCACGCAGAACTCAACGAGAAGAAGAAGAAAGAGTACGAATCTCTGCCGTACGATGAACAGCAGAAAATTGACGCAAGGAATGACAAGAGGGCTACTCGCAAGCGTTTCAATCGCAAGGTAAAGTCTGTCTCATTATGTTGTCGATTGTCAATTAGCACAAAGTACTGATGCTTTTTTTTACTTTGGTGCAAACCTGCAGAAATAAGCATATGCAATTAGAACGACGCGTGCTGGAAGAACGAGACGATGGATATCCAAGGATCGAGTATTTACTACTTTCTTTCTTCCTCGTGGTCGCTGAGGTAACTTGCAACGAATGCACATTCAATTGTATACTGTAGCTAGAAATTCTATAGCAATCGGATCAAACGTCTTTTATTTCAGCACGTAGGGCTAGCGGTTTTTGTATGTGGACCACCTGATATGGTTGCTCAGTGTGTCACACACCAAACCAGCTATCATGATGAACCTCGAGAGCGAAGAGCTACGCATGCGCCAGAGCATTCTGTACACTGTCGGTCGCATTTGTGACGATGAAGGTCGTGTATATTACGATATGTTCTCCTTATACTATTTTCATACGCTCTTGTGTTTTAATGTTGTGAACATTTACAGCGCAGAAGCAAAACTACGGGCATCATACTAGACCTGTCATATCTAAAGAGGCCATGGCGTTAATAGCTGACCTCGTGTATAAACAATCCGAAGGTTTATGCAATTGAGGTCTTCCTTTTGTCCTGTAGATATGACCCTAAGGTTTTATTGTAGTGATGGCAACAGACCTGCAGTTTTTCGCACGTCATGCGAACCGGAAAATCATTAAGTCAGAGGACGTTATGCTTTGTGCTAGGAAACACCCTAATTTGGTGACTATTTTGTATAATCATAAAGCTTTTGGACAAGAGGCTTTGAGACCACTAATTATATCCCTTGTTGACATGTTTGCAGACCAATTTGTTGCAAAAGTACCAGCGAGAAACGTCGACTTCTACTTCCGCGACGTCAACAAGTTCCAAGAAGAGACGCAGGAATTTTACAGACTTGGATGAAATTCACTGATCTCTTTCTAGACTTCTTTTGTTGTGTTGGTAGCACATATGTCTGATGTGTTCATGGAAGAGCTGGTAGCTCCAATTTACCTGAACGGGACGCTGTCTTTGTTCTTGGTGGTGTTCGAGCTGTTGGCACTCGTTTATGCTCAGAGAGATGCTGCTATTTTGCGTCGAATTAGCAACTGGGCTGACGGGTAGTTGGGTGCCATGGACTGGTTGCTGGTTATCTTGCTACGTGAGGGCAATACTTTTGCTATTGCTTTTAGCTCGTCAAGACAACGACAGATTTGTGACAACGATACCTGCTGGTTTTATCACATATGGACATTCGCGCTGACTTTTTTTGCGTCCATTCGCGCGACAGGATTATTGTGTGTTCAATAAACTTTTCGGGCGTACGTGAGATATTCCATGTCTTGGGAACTAAGATAAACTGTCGAGGTAGAAGAACAGTATGCGACAAGGACAGCTACGTAAAGCTTGTATAAGGCTATTATGATATCGAAGAACCAATCTTGTGGAGCCATCGAGATGCGAGACGTACTTACGTCGGACGGAATACAATGGAGCGAGCAGTGAAATCTGTGGCCAAACCTTATGAAGGAAATGGCATAGCGTTTTTGTGTTTGGGCGTTCCAGAGTGCCTTGTTAGGGCTCATAGAAGTTTTTTTTAGCATCTGTGCTTATTGGAGTATCGTTAACGTACACGTTCGTGAGCAGCATGCACAGTGTACAGATGACCGAACGTGATGTTGACCCATGCCGTGCACTAAGACAAATTTGTAACCTCACTAAAGTGATAATTAAGTTACAGCATGAGATTACGAATTATCGCCGTCGATGGAATTTGTAAGTGCTATCACGATGTGTTCTCCTGACAAGTCAAGCACTGCCCAATACATGTTGCCAAAGTAAATTGGTGGTGTTGCGGACGAACTTGCCTACGACGTTTTTGGCGAGATCGTAAACGGATACAAATTGCCGATGGCAATCGCAGCAAGAAGATGTTGGTAGACTTACTGCTATATCATACGAAAGCAGTCATCTTTCTCCAAATCAAAGAGCTCCACATGTATGTATAAAACTTCTGGCAATAACATAACAATCAACTGGACGAACGAATGAGCCCCGCATTAACAAGAAATTTTACAAAAGAAAAAGCCCATTATTTTCCAAGATCGTTGCTATTCTACCCCTTGATGAGAGACTTGGGCTGCATTCCCTTCTGGAAGGCCTTGACTACGCGAATCTGAGCGCGAAGGCGAGTAATGCCACGCACCCAGAGTGCCTGGCCACGGCCAGACGTAATTTCGCGTACCTCGTCCATGTCGGCCTCGCGGCAGAGTGTCATCCAGCTTGGAGCGTTCTTCATAGAAATCAGGCGTAACGCCAAACCAAGTGGCAGTGACACAAAGCCCATCCCAATACAGGCAAGCCACTGGTTCAGGTCAAGTGGCTTGCACTTGAACCAGTTACCAGTGTGCTGCACCATCGCGTACTGCATAGCAACTTGCAGCAAACACACCCATAGAAACACAGGGTTCTTCGTGATTCCCGTAAAGATGTTGATCTCGTCATGGATCTTACGGGCATTCAGCTCGTTAAATAGCTGCGCCAACACGAACGTGTTAAACACAATCGTCATGTGCTGCGTCGGGTCATTTTCCTCACCCTCGACAAGGTCCGTGAAACGGCCGGACGGAATATTGAACCACTTCTCGCCAGTGAACACAAGTGTCAGCAGTAAGATGAGCTGGTAAGCCGACTGACCAAGAATGTGCTTTGTCATCTTCTTCGAAATCAACGGCTCAGTCTTTGGGTAAGGTTTACGCTCCAGCAATTGCGGGGTTGGCTCCTCCGTCGCAAGGGCAAGCGATGCGAACGAATCCATTATCAAGTTCACCCAAAGCATCTGCACAGCCGACAAAGGAGACTGCTCGAGCACAACTGCACCGATAAACGCCAAAGAAATGGCAACCACATTTACCGTCAGTTGGAACTGCAGGAATTTGGCGATCGAGTCGTACACGTTACGTCCCCACTTGATAGCGTTTACAATTGAATTGAAGTTATCGTCCATCAATATAATGTCCGAAGCGTCCTTAGCAACGGCAGTGCCACTGATACCCATAGCAAAACCCACGTTCGCCTTTTTCAGAGCAGGAGCGTCATTCGTGCCGTCACCAGTCACAGCAACCACCTGAGGGCCGTGCGGCACAACATTGCTCTGCATCAATCCAGATACCAGCGTATATTTGTCCTTTGGCGACGAACGGGCGAGCACGCGCAGCATAGGCCAGATCTTGTCAAACTCGGACTGGATGATGTTGCCCTGTGCGTCCAGCACACGGCTGCGGAACGTCAAGCCGTCCATAATCAACGAGCCGTCACCAGGCGTCGTGATACCGCATTTGCTGGCAATCGATCGAGCAGTCGTAATATTGTCGCCTGTCACCATGCGCACCGTGATACCAGCAGTGGCGCACATCTTGATGGCATCAGGCACCTCCGGACGGACAGGATCTTCAATACCAACAATGGCCACACAAGTCAAGTTCCTCTCCAAGTCGTCGTCCGCCCAGTCAGTCGTGTCCTCGGCGGGTACATCCAAGTCCCGGTAGGCCAAGCACAACGTACGGTACGCCTGCGACGCGTACTTCTCAATCACCTCCTCGCCAATCTTTGCTTTAATACCCTCATTCAGGCCCTCAATCGAACCGTTTATGTCCTGCATATTTTCGCACAAACCAAGCACCACCTCCGTCGCACCTTTCGTGTACACACGACATGTTGTCGCACTCCGACGCACTACCACCGACATACGCTTCTTAGCACTGCTAAACGTCAGCATGTGAACAACTTCGTTGTTCGCACGGAGCTCTGGGTACTCCATACCGCCGTCACGAATGTACTGCAGAAGAGCGCACTCCGTCTTGTTACCAGTGTGTTCAGGCTGGCCATTCTCCACCTTAGGGAGAAGGATCTCAGCCGTCGAGTTCACAGCAATACCTATGCACAATGCCTCCTTTGTCGAGTCTGACAACGCATGGACACCCACCGAAGCAGACGAAAATTCCTGACCTCCGATCCACAACTGCATCACGGTCATACGGTTTGTCGTCAGCGTGCCAGTTTTATCGGAGCACACTGTCGTGGCACTGCCCATCGTCTCACAGGCGTCCAGATGACGCACTAAGTTGTTATCGACAAGCATCTTCTTCACAGAATAGGCAAGAGCAATGGTCACAGCGAGTGGGAGACCCTCGGGAATGGCTACCACTAGCACGGTGATAGCGATAATGAAGAAGTTCAGGTAATCACTGATGTAGCCACTCTTCCACGGCTTGTTGTCTCGACCGAATGTGTCAATCGAAAAACGGATCGACATGATGACGAACACCAAAAGAGCCACAAGTGTACCCAACTTGCCAATTAGTACCGTCAAGTTGTACAACTTGGCTTCCAGCGGAGACTGGCATTCATCGTCTTCGTCACCACCCTTGGTGTTCTCGTTCTCGTGAGTACCCTCCTTAGGAGTCTTGATCTCGATATAGATTTGCTCATCCGAGTCCCCATTCTTCTTGTTCATAGCCGCATTGCCGCCTCCAGTGGCAGCAGCACCTGGTCGGTTGCCGTTAATCAAGCTCTTAATAATACCAGCTTGCGAGTTTTCACCCACACATATCACCAGCATCTTGCCAACTCCCTCCATGACCTTGGTACCAGAGAGAAGAAATGGGTTCTCGGCGTCCTTTGACAGTAAGTCCGACTCACCAGTCATGGCACTTTCGTCCATTTTCATCTCTTTTGCGTTAAAGACGATTCCATCGGCAGGAATAATGTCACCTAGATCAACACGGACAATGTCACCGACTACGAGACTCCACTTGCTAATTTCAGCGGGTTGACCGTTGCGAATGACCTTAATCTTTTCATCCTCCTTGATAGCGTTTAATGCACGAAACTGTGCCTCTTTCTGGTAATCATTCATGGCCGTAACGAGTGTCACAACCACGACAGCAAGAATAATACAGGCTCCTTCCACCCATCCAGTCTCAGGATGGTCCCCCACCGTCGAGGACAGAATGATTGAAATGAAACCTGAAATGGTCAACACAATGATCGTAATGTCCTGAAAAGCGTCCCACATGAGTTCCAAAAAGCTCTTGGCTTTAGGTGGAGACACATAATTTTTCCCAAATGCCTCTTCACGATTCGACAGATCAACAATATTATTCGAGTCCAATCCCTGGCGTGGATCAACGTTCAGCGAGACGGCAATGCCCTCAAGACCGCCCATAGTGCCAAGTACGTCCTGTTGCTTTTCATGAGGCGTCTCAATGAGACGAATAAGATCTCCAGTGACCACATTAAACGAGGCCATGGCTTCTTACGTAGAAAAGAAAATGTTTTAGTTGTCTTCTAATCAAAAAGGACGTCAGGCAAAAGAGGACGAGGAAAGAAGACGCACACTTGACTACGCCGTGGACAATTCGAAAATGATTCAGCCTTTCGACTAAAGTAAAGACGTACTTTCCCATAAAAAATGTGTCGTTCGTGTGGTTCGTATGATGGGAGCCAGTTTAAAAATCAGACAGGCGCATTAGAGTCATGCGTAAAAATCGAGCAAATCACGGCTGTCATCGGATGGCTGGTATGCTTTCTACGACAAAGGAATACTATCTACAGTCTAGAGAACGCATGTTTTGCACGCAGGAATTCTTCGGAATAGACTGCGATCTCAGGTTACGACTGTCAAGAGGACGAGATAGCATTTCTTGGTGCTAGCTTTTTGTCCTTGCACTTTATATTTTTTCTTGACGACAATCCGATTATAAAGGGGCTAATCAGTGACCAGACAGTTTCTCACTAAGGTCGACCGAGTGGATTTTTTAGCTGAATGTTACAGTACAAATTCATAGAGGGTTTTGACTGACTCGTGGTAAGATAGGAAAAGGTTGGATGCGTTGACATCGATATCCGCTTGTTCCAAGCTTGCGTTATAGGCGCTCGTATTAAATGTTCATCTGTCATCAAATCAATCATTAGACCGATTCTTGCTAGTTTTCGTAAGCATGTGCACGCATTGGCAAGCTTCCCGGTTTCTATCTAGGCAGCGCAACCACGCAAAATTCAGTCCTGGAAGGCCGGTGATCGTCTTTGTACCAGAGTCTGTTGGCCTTGTCCAGTCCTGATTATCATGGTTACACGCAGTCAAGCCAGCAGCGGAATTTAGAAATAATAGGGTCCTCGTGCTAGTGAAGCAGTTAATGCATTGGGATGTCCATGCAAATATAAGTACTTACTGGTACGCAAGTAAAAGTATGGTTTGAAGCTCTCTAACACTGGTACATGTGTTTGGTATGTGTATGTGCCATCATTGATAAGTAGAATCGCGAACGTCATGTCGGAATTGAAGCTGTCGATTAAAGGAGACTTGCACGTTTTATGAGAACGACAAGTCAGCATAGTTGTACTAATGTGCCGCCGGCTACAACCACATGCTCATTCTCGATCACATCTTCGGACTTGCACGTTGCAGACGGCTTGCATGTTATGCCCTCCACATCAACACGTGCAACGAGATCAGGCTTCATTGAAGCTGTGCTAGCACTTCGTTATCTCGTTACGGGAAAGTGCACAAAATTGGAAACGCTTGCGTCTGTTTCAAGGTCTGATCGAGTAACCAGAGTGACGCGACTTGGAAATGGCGAGTCGCAGGCTTTTGAGGCGCATGGGCGCTCGAATGACCTTATGCACCAATAAGTATAAGAACTCAGAATTAATGAGACATGCGGTTCAGTTTACATCATGCAAAAAGTGCTGTACATTACGACCTGAAGGAAACTTACAGATAGAAAACCCCCGTCCAAGGGTCGTGAATAATCATCGTGTAAGATACTGCACATTTAACGTAGAGAAAACTCACACATTTACGTTTGACAGAAACCTCTTTCCAATGGTCGTACATATTCGTGTGCCGTTGCGAAACGTCTTACTATACCCTGACGCCGTTACCAAACTTCCCGGATCCCCCGATACAGCAACACATAGTCATCGTCCAATGAGCCATTTCAACAGCATCCGATCGAAGAAAAGAAAAGGCCGAAAGTGCGCAGTCTAAAACGGCTTTTCAAGTTCGAGGTGAAGTTTTTGCTTGACAATACAGCAGACAACATCGCAATGAGCCCGACTGCAAAGTTTGTGCTGCTTTCGGACGAGAGCCCTAAAAGGACCAAATGCAGACACTTCTTTCTTTGTTAAGACAAATACGCGCCAAACATTGATCACCTGTAGCATCCCATTTCACGTGAAATCAAGACACAGTTGGACCACCCTTTACGATGGAATAGATATCATCAAATCACTAACAACACCGTCCGTGCAACTTTTATTCCGTCGTGACGCAGCAATTGTGCCGCGCCTAGCAACCAGTTCTGCATTTCGTTTCCGATGTTCGTGTGCCGCTCAATAAAGTCTCTAAAGTTACTTGCTACATTCGTTCTACTGTATTTACTCGGCTTTTGTCGATCGAAAGAGCGATCGAACATCACCATATATGTAAGCAACAATTACTTGCTGACGAAATGTCGACCGAATTTTTGCAAATCAAGAAATATGACCCCGACTTCAATCATAGCGACCAATTTTTTTGCACTGGTGAAGTGATTGCAGAAGATAGTGCCTTTGCAACGCGACGAACAGTGGGCAAGAATCCTCGTCTGTCCAGCACATAAGGCGCATCGGTTTATGATTAGAAACACGTGAAAACAAGATTTGCAAATCATACTGTTTCATAGGCAAGATATCTTGGTGTTATCCGAGTATACTACAAATATCACCCTGTCGTCAGCCTCAGTGAGCAATCCATGAGTCCGGTCAGGTAATTGACGCATGAGCGACTGCAGCTTCTACAATAGCTTCGTATAATCCACCATAGCCAAATATCTGGTGGCTGGCGCCCATACCGTCATTGAAGCGTAATGCAACCATTCATGTGGCACTTGTTGGCGCCGATGTACAGTATGCGAGCGCTTAACGATTAAAGCAGCGTTAATGATAGAAGTCAGGTGGACATGCTCAGCCTTTTGTTAGGAGCAGCAGACGTTCCGAAAATAACCCGAATCGTAGCTGAGCTCGCTCAATGACTCGTTGTGGTGGCAATAAATTTGAAGGCTGGATGACACGCTAGCAAATCGCTACAGTGTCTCGCACACGAGCCGGGGGAGCCGAAAAAACTTTACCAAAGCTTCAGGAAGCAGAAGAGGAGGCAACATTTGTAGTGTGGCAATGTAAACGCTGTGCTTGATTTGTGCCAAACGAGACAAGACACAATGGTAACATCTAGATGCTCGGAATAAATAAACGTGTGGGTCCGAAAAGCGCGCAGATTTGCCTGCAACGAACAAACGGCAAATTGGGACTGGCTCAACACACGAAAATTAACGCCTATTAGGCAGAGATATCGCGTGATAAGATTAAAACAGAGGTGACAGTAGTAATACTCAAAGTCCGGGCGGACCCGGAAAAGGTGTTGCCAAAGGAAATACATCCTAAGGAGTTAAGCTACGACGACGTGAAGCTAGACTGCGTTGCCGGGCCATATATAAACCATGGTATGCCCTTACTATCCACACAGCCACCGTATTGGAAGATCATCTCTTTCGTGTAAATTTCACCGAGCATTGGACTTCCCTTGAGACCTCTTATAATGTCGGAGAACTTCATCTCTTGACAGCTGATCACAAGCGGCACAAGTATCGGCTTCCTGTCACCCACTTTTCTAAACAAATTTAAACAATAAACAAAATTAATCATATACATGCATGGATTGCTGGGCTATTTTGGTCTCAGATATTATTGTACGTATATGGTGATGGGAAAAGATAGGAATCGCAATCAAAATGAGCAATGCACTATTGCGATACTAAGAGCCTTCAATATCTTATGCACCAGAGAAGCAGGTAGAACATGCCATACGTTGCCCATGGTACGTGTATAGGGAGAAAACTAAACATATTGTAAGTGAAGAGTCAAAGCATTTCGAATTTAAGATCCGGCTGCTGACAATCATGGCGCGATGATGTACCAGCCGAAAAAAGAGTTCGTGTATTTTAGTATTATCAAAGGATATGGCAAAGCCTTCATGCGCGCTACTGTTATCATGGACAGACACTGTGTTCGGTATGTGTTCCGTCTTATGCCATGACAGCCAGACTTGGCTGGACTATGAGCAAGAGGGGCGCATCGTCTGCAAGGGACAAGCACAGACGTGAGTGCCGCGAGCCATCAAGAATGGCATCACGTGCGATTTGCAAAGTAAGGGAGATTCATAGTCAAGATTCGTTTCATTGGAGTAAAACATATTACCTCAATTTAACAATGGCACAGAGGCGGAGAATCTCGCTTCTCATTTGTACCTGGATACACATTCGTATGATGTGAAGCGGACGCATCCCTCATGATCTTCCGTAGAGCTATCGACGTGCCGACGAGCGTTACATGCAGCACAGTGTTGCATAAAGACCGCTATTATTGCTGAGACTAGTGTTCGTATAGAGTTGATACGCGACGTTTAGCACACATCAAAACGAACGGTAGATATGAGTTTATGACAGAGCAAACGATAGATCCAATGACTTTACATGTGTCATCTGTCCCTAACAAAAGAAATTGTTTCCGAGTCACCGTTGTCAAGTAGCAGCCAGAACGGCATAGCCACCGTAGCCGACAGGAGACATATTCTGGGGTTCGAGTAGCTTTAGACTTTTCAACATTCTTGTAACCCATAACGTGTCTGTTCTTGCACACACACATGTGTCGTTGTCCTATTTACGCACAAATTTCGACTACATTTGAGAGCGAGTCATAGATTCCATCGGTAGCTCGAAATACTCTTTATGTATTGCCGCTGCAAATTAGAATCTCGATCTGTAGATCAACTGTATCTGGGTGCATGACAATCGGGTAGTCCCGCACTGCCCACGGCGACACGCTGTCGAGTTGTTACTTGCATCATATCAACCTCAGCTTTCGATTTGCCACTCATCCAACAAGTCAATAGCAGTCCCAATGACTCACAACCTATCAACCAACTACGAGAAGGTGACCACGCCGACTTTTGATTCTCGATTGAGCACGATCCCCTTCAGCCAGGAACAAACTCACCTCATTGAAGAAAATGAAGAAGAGAATTTTTATTTGAAGATGCCGCTCAAGGAGAAGATCATTAGGGGCATCTTTTATGGCATCGCGTCCCTGGCTGCTCTGTACTTTTTCATGGTGGCTGTCAAGCTTATCGGCGATGGTATTACGGTGGCACTTGGATGCGACACCAAGGGAGCTTTCGACTTTGCCGATAACCCGGTGGCTGGTCTGATGATCGGTACTATCTCCACTGCTCTGCTTCACAGTTCCGGCACAGTGACGTCCATTATCGTGACCCTTGTGGGTTCTGGTGGCATGACTATTCGCCAGGGCGTGTACGTCATCATGGGTGCCAACATTGGTACCTGTATCACATGCATCATGGTGGCTTTTGGACAGGTCGGAGACCGTTTCCGTTTCCAGCGTGCCATGGCAGCCGCTACTGTTCATGACATGTACAATCTCTGGTCCGTCTTCGTGCTGTTCCCTCTTGAAGTGATTTTTCACCCACTCGAGAAACTGTCGGTCGCTATGTCCAATGCTCAAACCAACGGTGGTGCCTTCAGTAGTCCTGTTGATATTGTCGTGAATCCACTCGCGAAGGAGGTGATCGTCGTGGATAAGAGTGCCATCTACAACGTCGCTTCTGGCAAAGTTATATGTACACCTGGACAATCGTTTGTCAGCGGTGGTATGTTTGAGGGTTCAAGCATGAGTGACGGCAGTATCGGTGCCCTCACGGCTGTGTTGGGTTTGTGTATCCTGGTCTGCTCTCTGCTAGCCTTGGTCAAGATGCTGGCTAAAGTCTTCATGGGCCCCACGAAGCGCCTTGTTTCCAAGCTGCTTGACTACAATGGTTATGTCAACATCATTGTCGGCACGCTGGTCACATTCTGTGTCCATTCGTCAACAGTTGTGACATCTACTCTTACCCCGCTCGCGGGTCTGGGTGTTATCACGCTGGAACAAGTCTACCCGCTGGTTATTGGAGCCAACTTAGGTACTACTGGCACGGCCCTGCTTGCTGCCTTGGTCACAGGCAAATCGGACTCGGTTGCCATTGCTCTTGTGCACTTCTGGTTCAACTTGTTCGGCATCGTGCTCTTTTACCCGATTCCGCTCACCCGCAAGCCCATTATGAGCTGGGCCCGCTCGCTAGCATTTGCTAGTGCCGCGTGGCCAGTAACTGCTGTGTTGTTCCTCATTTTCTTATTTCTAGTAGCACCCGGCACTTTACTTGTGCTGGTCTATATGTGCACTGCCGAGAGCACTGTGGTGGAGGTAATCGGCTACATTGCCGCAGCTATTGTAGTAGTTGCGATGGCGAGTTCAATGTTCTGGTACTTGAAAAAGGGCGGTCGTGTCTTGTGGCACGCGTTCTTACAGAAAAAGTCGTTGCAACGCGAAGCTTCTGATACTTGTGAGTCTGTTTCATCGCACAATGCAGTCTAAGAGATAGATTTGACATGTAGTAACAAAACTTCAATGCCAACTACCAATGGACACATGTGTCTATCGAATCGTTGTTACATGTCCTCACAAACAGGTTTGAAAATGTCGGCGGAGTCAAAAGAGTATGTATTCATGGTAAGGATTGAGTGTTTCATGCTGCTGAGATTCAGTCTGGACCGTCGTGCCAAAGTCTTTGCACAGTTGACATTCTCAAAAGCGACGCCTGCTGTTGCTCCAGAGATAGCGAAGCGAATACTTCACGAGCCCATTCATCGAGTTTGGAGTGCTCGCTACACAGTAGCTAGGTATCCTGTAGCAAGTATAATACAAGCACCTTAGACAATCGACAACATAATTGAAGACCTCGTCTATAAAATACGTTTCGACTAGAATCACGTCTGCTCTAAGACTCAACCAAGCACAAAATAGCGGAAGTCGCCACTCACGTTTAAGATTTCTAAGATATAAGTGACGCTAACAATACCACCGCCAAAAAAACATGCTTTTGTCCCACAACAATGCAATGGCTGCATCTCTCTCAACGTGTTTCAGCACAAAACACATCACATGCTCAAAAGAAGGTTGGTTAGGCGTCTTTATGGCCTTACTGAGCCTTTGGAGCCTTGACGACACCCACCTGCGCTGGGCGAATGACACGCTCATTCAGCAGATAACCATCTTTCATGAGTTGACCAATGGATCCCGCTTCCTTAGAGACATCCTCGTACTCGAAAAGCGCATCGTGCACGTTAGGGTCGAATTTGTCGCCCACGGCGCCTACTTGATGGATCTTGAACTCTCGAAAGACCTTCTGCAGTTGGTTCTCCGTCATCACGACACCTTCATGTAATACCTTGATGGCGTCCAGGTGCTTGTCTGGCTCCAATGCTTCCACATCAATACTCTCGTGTGCACGCTTGAGATTATCCGACACATCCAAAAGTGCTTTGGCAAATTTAGAAATGGCAAATTCACGTGCATTGTTCACGTCAATGCGAGAAATACGACGCACATTTTCAGCATCAGCAAGTGCACGTAAAAGACGATCATTCATGTCCTTGTTCTGGGCTGAGAGCTCCTTTACTTTATTCTGCAGTGATTCTGTCTCGGACAGCTCAGTAGTAGTAGACTCTTCAGCTTTAAGCTCTTCTGTACCAGCGGTCTCGTCCGTTGGCTTTTCATTAGCAAAACACACTGAAGTCTCACTCACGCAGCGTATTTGCTGAGACATACGCGTCATGCCACGTGTAGCAGCACTCGATAGAATAATTCGACGGAACATTTGGATGGTATATAATCTAAGGAATGAACGGTTGAGTTTTGAGACGTTAGGGACCACAGGCTTAAGTTTATCCATATCGATTTACACAGGGTCGAATATTCGACAAAGTACCGTAATTTATCTCTTTACATCTTCCTCTAAATGAACCACTCAATAATAAATTACCGACTGCGACCGATCCAATTGAAAAAATGGCGCCAATTATACAGACAAGTGCGGGACTTCATGCGGAGCGTGTCAAGAAACAGGTGCTCGAGCAATCAGCAGAAGAGATAGCCAACCAGAAAGTACTACAACATTATGTCAAGACAGTGTACTTTAATGATCTATGGGTATCGTTCTTAAGTAAAATGTCGGCTCTTGTGGGACTCATGAGTTTCGTGCAAGTGCAGCGCATGCGCTCCAGTCCACGTGGTCTCAGCTTCATTGCAGGCTTTGAAGCATTGTCCGTGCTTATTGGAGCTAGTACGGTACTCTTTATCCAACGATGGAGTAACCCGCTGCTGGCATTCAAGGTGGCGTTCGCTTTCTCGTTGCTCCAAGGTTTTTGGTTTATGGCCAGCTATTCTTCGCGCTTCATGGCGTTGCCACGCCAGGCGGGCGATTTATTGACCGAGCAAATTCCCTTTGGTCTTATCTACTTTGTAGTTTGTTGGATCTCGGACCGTTACATGATGCGTACCCAAGGCATTGCCAAGCAGACGGCTCAAGACCTTCGCGCTGTACTCAAGGGCAAAGTCGCATAAGACAAGATAATAGGTACTGTAGCTACAGAGTCCTAAGATAGCAAAAATAAGGTCCCTTATTTTAGGGTATATGTTTAGCGCCATATTTTCCTATGTTGCTTGAAATTTTTATAAGTTCAAATTCCATGAAGTACAGGGAGGACCCCACCTGGGCAGACGTGGTCAAAGTGCCACAAGATGACGGCCCAGATCCCATTGTAAGCATTAATTATTCCGAGACTTGTACGTAGATTCTATCCTTCTCTTTACACTCTGTATTATACTCACACATTGCTCCTCTTTTGTCAGTTACGGACGTGATGGATTGTTTCCGTGGTGTTCTCAAGACGAACGAATATAGTGAGCGTGTATTGGCATTAACACTGGACGTAATCAAAGAAAATCCGGCTAATTACACGGTCTGGTACTATCGTCGACGTGTGCTGGAGGCATTAGGCTCGGATCTACGTGCAGAGCTCCAATTTACGGCCGATATGGCTCTTGAGCATCCCAAGAATTACCAAATCTGGAAATATCGTCGGGATATCTGCACTATGATGCACGATGGTAGTGCAGAAAAGGAGTTCTGTGCCATGTCCTTTGATGTCGACTCTAAAAATTACCACGCTTGGGCACACCGTCAATGGGTGGTCAAAACATTCTGTCTTTGGGATGGAGAGCTCGAGTTTGTGGACAAAATGCTCCTTGAGGACGTCCGGAATAATTCGGCGTGGAACCACCGCTGGTTTGTGGTAACCAATACGGTAGGACTTGATACTATGGAGGATCGCCAGCGTGAAGTTGGCTACACGTTTGAGAAGATTGCAATGGCTGTGCACAATGAAAGTCCATGGAATTACCTCCGCGGTCTCGTTCGGGGCCATGAAGTTACCTTTGCTGCACACCTGAAGGAAAAATTGCAGCAGATTCTGGTAACGTCGCCAGACTGCATCTTTGCGGCGGCGTTACTGGTGGATCTGTACGCGAAAGAAGGCACAGAAGATGCTCTTGAATCAGCTAGCACGCTCCTGGAGACGCTGATGAACGATACAGACTGCGTGAGGAAGGCGTACTGGCAATTCCGTCTTTCTACGCTCAAGCGACGCGAGTAGTGGTGCTCACACGACTTGCATATCCGTAAAATGGATGATGAGCGTGAAAACTATCAACAACTAAAACAAGCACGGCTATATTCTTTTGTCGTTAGCTAGAGTGGTCGAAGAAGCGTCGTCCTCGTGCCAACGATCTTTCCGCTATATGCGAGATGGCAGGCCGGCTTGCCATCGTAGACTGATAAGGCGACCACATGGACGTCTGCTTCGTTCTTTGCTTGAATGACTAAATGTCGGACGGAAAGTTGTTCACAGTTGCCATGTCCTCCACTTTGCTGCCATTTACAAAAAACTCGAGCTTAATCCTCATCAGCACGGGTTTCTGAGCCAAAAAAAAGTTAGTATCTCGCTCAACTAAAAAATATGTCCAGCACAATCTTACCTCTCCCTGCAAACTGTTCTGGATCTTGACAACCTGAGTGACTGCGCCGCTGTTGTTCGGTGGCACCACATCACCTGTAGGAGGCTCCATTTTCAGTTTGACGTACTTCGGGAACGCGGCCAGGAACACAAACTTCTCGATCGATAGGGCTGTAGAGTTTTGAATACAAGCCGTAATGTATGTCACGGACTTGTCGTCAGGGTTTGGCTTCGTGATCTGCAAGTCAACAGTGAGACCGTTCTTCTCGTACGCGCGCACTCGCGGGTTCGCTGCAGAAGGCGCCGATTTTGGAGCAGGCGCGCCAAAGCCCATTAGTCCTAGCAAATCATCGGCTCCTGCGGTAGCCACACCACCGTTGCTTGAACCAGCTACTGGAGCTGGCGCGGCCGAACCGCTGGAGAAAATATCGGCTAGCAAGTCTACAGTGGGAGGTGCAGGTGGAGCGGAAGAGGAAGCCGAGAAATCTGTTCCAATGCTCGATGTAGATGCACCGCCACCAAAAATGTCGTCCAGGTCCAATAGACTAGCACTAGCGCTCGACTGTGCAGCTTGAACAGGTATCGATGATGCAGCCGCGGCATTCCCGCTGCTTGAGCTCGCTCCCATGTCTTCGTCGCCCAGAAGGTCGGCCATGGCCGACGACGCAAGATTATCATTGCGGCTGCGCACCTTAGATGCATCGATTGCGGGCATGCCAACTAGAACATCATTGCGAAGAGAACACCACTGAGGGTGGCCAAGCGTCGTGTACTCCGTAGCACGCTGCTGGAGCTCAAGCACCATAGATGTGTTGAAGGAGGAAATCATCGAGTGTAGCTTGGCAATCTCAGTCTGCGAGCTAAAACGTGTCGTGAGTTTCACCATAGCATTCAATGAATACGCCCGCGTAATTTCCGTCGATGCATGGTGACCCAGAATTGTTCTGAAGAGTTCTACGATACTACTCTCGTCCACATGGTTCTTGCCAGTTAACGTGTCTTCCGATGCGGGGGCATCCAGCAGCAGAAGTTTGCTGTACTCACCAACACACCAGATACCAACGTGGACAAGAGACAACTGAGAAACGTCATTGCGAAGTGCCCAAAAGAGCTTGTGGACCACGTATGCATGCAGATCGGTGTTACGCTGGATAAGCGTGATGAGTGAGCTGCATATCCGCTCGTCTGGCAGCGTCGAACCAGCAATTGAAAGCATTGTTATCAACGTGTCGATGTGCCATCGGCTTGAAGGTGCGTACCGATTAACCGCATCTACATGTAGCATATTTTACACAATATTTAGTTTAGTGCGCCATACTCGTAGCTTTGATATCGGTAACAGAGTCGTTCAAGCGTTTACCAGCAATCCTTGAACACAACTCGGGCTTTTGGTCATTCGGAGCAATCACGAGGTAGTTAAGCATCTCACGAGCAAGCTACAATGAAAGAGCCATTACATCATAACTGTTAGTAAGGCATCCACAACTCTACTGTCGTATACGTTGGTGGGTCGAGCGCTACACGTACCGACTGAATGTTAGAAGAGTTGACAAGTGAGTAGATGAGCTCAAGCGCACGCTGACGAATGGACATATCTGGATCCTTCAGACAGTCTACGATGGTATTAGTGTGACGCTGCACCGCCGCCACATCGTCTGTCACAACCTTTGACAACGTATTAAGTGCTACATATCGAATATTGTTGTCACGGTTCAGCAGAAACCGTCCCAGAATGTTGATTGCTAGCACACGGAGCCCGCTGTCGCTCTCAATAGTCATGATAGTCTGCACGCATTCGTAAAGAATCGCGTTGCCAGCCGTCTTTGCAGTCTCGGTGTTCGTCGCCACTTGCGCCAAAACATCATTCATCGCCTCGCTGGCTTCTTCATTACCCTTGCCCAGCAGCCTCAAAAGCTTCAAGATTGCCACCTGTAGAAACGGGTCGGCGATACCACTAACATCGTACTCGCTCGAGTATCCCATGGACAGCAAGTTTCGAAGCTGACGTACAAGTTTCGGCACGAGGCTGCTAAATCTCTTCAAGTTTTCCGAATCGAGCAACACCACTTCCGTAATCAGTTGCACCCCCGCAAGCAGTACACCATGATGTTTGGCACGCAGCAGGCTCACAATTGATTCAGTAAAGTCTTCGACCAAATCCGGCACCTTTGTAAACACTCGAATAGCTGCCAACGCCGCTTTTTTACGTAAATGATCATTGTCACTACGTAAATGACGATCCACATCCATGACCAAATCCCGTGCCATATCCGCCTACATAATGCATCAAAAAATAAACAAATGCAAACCAATAACGCATCAATATCTTTGTATCTATGTCATATTAGAAAAGTATCCATTGTCGCATCAGTTTTTTCTTACCGACGCCACATTACCCACAGCTGTGAGCGATAAGGCTACAATAAAATGGTTTTGGTTGTTGAGGTCACTAAAGTAGCAATAAAAAGTAGGAATAAACAATAATATACATCCTGTTAGTATTCCCTGCAACATTTAATACTCGACTGAAAAATAAAAATACATTACGTGCTTTTTAACAGAATTTGTCACAAGAGTCAGTACATCTTCTTGGTCCGTCAATAGTAAGATAAGGCCCAAATACCCCATTCTCTTTTCAGCAAAATACGGACTCGCAATGAGTTTCACACACTCCATTTGACCAAAATGAGAGGGATACCCAAGCATGTGGATAAACAAAAGTTTCGCCACATTACGATGACGATATTGTTTGTCCTGATCTTTAAAAGCTGTACGGATTAATGCGCTCTCTTTTGCAATAACAGCGCGTTCCTCAGCTGCTGTTTTACTAGCACGTACACCACGAATTAGATCACGTAGTTTTTGGCTCATGAGTCACGATTCTTGGCTTCGATTGGGGAAGGCTGACGTGGGCAGCCTCTGGGGATGGAGATATTTTGACCAATGACAAATGAAGATGAAGCAATATTAGCTATGAGCGTTGATGATTGGATGAAAAGAGATACATGTGACGTGTGACGACATTTAGCCTGATATTGACATGTTGGGGCTTTTGCACGATAGCGATCTATTAGCATGGCTAGCTGCTGCTGCTGCATTTATCATTAGAGCTATCTGCCTGAGATTGCAGTATTCCAGGGCATACTTTATACAGTGCATTCGCATTGCTTACGTCCCCAACTCTTTTTGCAGTATTTTTTTCTTGGCGGATCACAATGGTGGACGGCAGTGGACGCCCATTACAATGGTGGACGGTAGTGGACGCCCATCCGACCACATTTTGTCAAAAAAACACCCAAACAAACACACTACAATACAGGTGTACTGTAGCAGCTTCAAAAGAACGCGTAATATTATATAATGCAGTTTATGTAGTGGATCCACCAATGAACAGTACAACTTGAAGCTAGAGACGTCCAATCATGGTATAGGACGAACCAATCAGCGTTCACGAAAAGTTAATTTTCATCGACAGTCATATCACAATTTTCACAGTTGACGCCACATCTCGTTAATATGTTGTTCAAGTCGCTCTCTTTGTCCATGATTGCTCGTCGCTCTCTCGGTGCTACACGAGGTATGGCTGGCAGTCGTACTGCATTTAATTGGCGTGATCCACTGCTGCTGGACGACCAGCTGACGGATGAAGAGGCCATGATTCAGGTCCGTCTAGTCCTAATCTCAGTACTAATTGTTGTTACATTTGTGATTTACACTATGAAATTTCTTGTAGAAATCAGCCAACGACTATTGTCAAGGAAAGCTACTACCAAGGATCGTACAGGCTAATCGAAAGGGCACATTTGACCGCTCGATCATGAAAGAAATGGGCGAAATGGGCTTCTTGGGCCCCACTATCCATGGATACGGCTGTGCAGGAGTGGGCTACGTATCCTACGGCCTCATTGCAAACGCTGTAGAGCGTGTATGATGGATATGGACTCGGCTATAGCAAGTGTGTGTCTAGGGTGGCTGATGTCTCTCTTTTGTGTGTATGTGAAATTTATGATAGGTGGACAGTGCGTATCGCTCGGCTATGAGTGTCCAATCGTCTCTAGTGATGCACCCAATCAATACTTTTGGATCGGATGAGCAGAAGGAAAAGGTTTGTGGTGTGTGTGTAGTTCAATAGAACCCTTAATTGGGAAGACATTCTTTGAAAATGACCATGTGGTGTGTTTGAATGAACAATTAATGACATACAGTACCTGCCACGTCTTGCCACTGGTGAACTAATTGGCTGTTTTGGCTTGACGGAGCCAAACCACGGATCTGACCCTAGTTCGTACGTTGTCACAGTCTCTTAGAAAACAAGCAGTATATGATATCTTACTTTCGTATGTGCTGTTTGCTAAAAAGGATGGAGACACGTGCTAGACTCAAAGGAGACACATACGTGCTCAACGGCTCCAAGAACTGGATCACGAACTCTCCGATTGCCGATATCTTCCTAGTCTGGGGCAAAGACGATGAAGGTGATATCCGCGGCTTTATCCTCGAAAAGGTGCGTGGCTGGTGGTGTATGTGGTTATGACATAGTAAAGCTGTATTAACGTCCGTTTTCAGGACTTTCCTGGTCTGTCGGCCCCATACATCGAAGGCAAGGCAACATTGATGGCGTCTGCTACTGGCATGATTTTCCTAGAGGACGTCGAAGTCCCTAAGGAAAACATGTTGCCCAAGGTGAAGGGCCTTAAGGTATGTTTTACACTTCTTTTTCCTGATTATCCGAGTTTTGTTCCTCTAACCAATCGAGCAACAATAGGGCCCTTTTACCTGCCTTAACAGTGCTCGTTACGGCATTTCCTGGGGAGCTCTTGGCGCAGCATGTACGAATGCTGATGTTCTTGGAGAAACTTATGCAGCCATGTGGTCTGACTTGCTCTACGATACATTCAAATCTGTAACAGACTCCTGCATGGACATTGCTCGCCAATACACCCTTGACCGTGCCCAGTTCGGTGCTCCACTCGCTGCGTACGTAGTGAACTATGCTATGTGTTGTCAATTGTAGTCCTGACAATTTTTCGCACTTGCATTCTATGTTGCAGTAATCAGCTTATCCAGAAAAAGTTGGCAGACATGAACACGGAGATTGCGCTCGGTCTCCAAGGCTGTCTGCAAGTCGGTCGTCTGCTCGATGATGGCAAGGCTCCAGTGGAGCTCATCTCGATGGTCAAGCGTAACTCATGTGGGAAAGCCATTGAGATTGCACGCAATGCCCGAGACATGCTAGGTGGCAATGGCGTTTCGGATGAGTATCATATCATTCGTCACGTGGTGAATCTGGAGGCAGTGAACACGTACGAGGGCACGCATGACGTTCATGCTTTGATCCTTGGTCGTGCCATCACTGGCCTGTCTGCTTTTGTGCCTCGTATGGCAGTGTAGACAAAAACTAACAATACATTGCAATATTCACTTTCATACTGAAATATTTCAGTAGTCACAATTGATCCCCTACTACTTCAAAACCACTTGTTTCTAATTGGTAAAAAAACCTTTTTTTAGAAACGCATCCAATAGCTCATTTATAGGAAGAAAGACATGCACAGTCTTGCAGCCAAGACGCCACGTTTCATCATACCAGGTCTCGTAAATTTAGGCAATACGTGCTTTTTCAATGCGATTCTACAGGCATTAGCTTCTCTTCATAGTGTACATGAATATCTGGAAGAAATTGAGCAACGCGCACGCGTCACACGCTGCAATATCGCATTTACAGGCGCTCTCCGCGACTGTTTAAAAGGTACGTCCATGATCAAATGTCCTATTACTTATTGTATGTGTCAAACTTAACATAATTAAGTACTTTTTTATTCTAGCATTGCGACCTCGAGAAGAACATGAAGTCTGTCAAGTATTTGCTCCAAGAGTTTTAAATACTGAGCTTACGAGTAAATTACGTGCTTTCCGTGGCAATAGACAGCAGGTTCATTCAATCGTTGATAAATGGAGCTACATCTGAGGTATCCTTATGACATTTTTTTGTATTAATGTGTCATAGGACTCCCAGGAATTGCTTCAGTTCCTGTTCAAATTGGTTGGGAATGAACAAAAACGCTGTGCCGTGCAAGATCGAGGACTGGTGGACCTTTTAGATGACAATGTACACGAATCTACGACATTGAGTTCGATCAGTGATCTTCAATTATTGGAAGCAGTTGATAGACGAAACTGGAATCCTTTACAAGGCCTTCAAGTGAATTTACTGCAATGTTCTCGCTGCCATTGCTTTCGACCTCTTAACAACCAACCATTTCTGGACGTCTCTCTATCGCTTGTCGGTGTAGGGGACACAAAAGTCTCTCGTCTGACGGATGCGCTGCATTTGTACACGGAATCAGAGGTAATTAAAGGGGTGGAATGTAGAAACTGTAGTGTTGTTGAAGAGCTTAAAGTCACACAGAGAGAGGGTGCACAGGCCATGAACGAAGATAAACTTTATCTCGGCAGTGTTAGCAACGTGCCGGATCTGGAGATCGCACAGCATGAGCGGAAAGACTGGATGCACATGTTGGAGCAGCTGGCTAACTCATCATCCAGCTTTGATCTGGAACAAACCAAACGGCCGATTTTGCGAAGCTGTGGTGAAAGCCACAAGCGCTTGCAGTTCTCACGCAGCCCGGATGTATTTTGCTTTCATCTGAGCCGAAAAGTTTACAGAAAGACTGGTGGTGCAGTCAAGCTGGGAAACCATGTGGAGTTTCCTCTGGAGCTTGACATGAGTATCTACTGCCAATACGAACTGGGCTCCGTCGCGGAGCAAAACCTAGTTGATAGCGTCTCACGGCCACCAAGCGCTCTCATTCGGCGGTCTGATTCGTCTTCACTGCTCTTTAGTGAGACCGCCAAGCAGCATTTACTCTACGATCTGACGGCGGTCATTCTCCACCATGGCAACGAGCGCTGCGGTCATTTCACAGCATACCGCCGTGCAAGTCCGTCACAGTGGTTTTTCGTCTCTGATGAGAGCGTACGTGAGGTTCACGTAGCTGAAGTTCTAAGTAGTTGCGCGTACATGCTCTTTTACGAGCGTAAATTTCGAACCAAGAAGACAACACGGAGTTCTGAGACGACAACAGATGATGACGATAGTTTGCCGGATGTGCCTTTTGAGCCCCACTTGCTGCTGCCAAATGGCCGTTTCTGAGGAACAGACTAGGTAAACGCAGCAAGTGACTTACGCTGAAGTAAACTGAGTACGTAAATACATTGGTTAATGCTATTGTCATCGACTCACTTGAGCCATGTGAAGCTTAGAGTTCGCCCAAGGCATCACTTCATTCTGTGAAGACTCCTGCTCACAAAAAACAAACTAAGATGAGAGCTGCGAACTCATCACATGTGCGACCTTCTGTTCGTACTATTTAGTCGAAGCCGTACTCTTGGCGGGCTCGCTTGACGACACCAATGAGGAACCCACTCTTGTTGCGAACGTTGGATAGGTTAGCACCTGCAAATCGAGTAAGCACTTGGTTGGCTAGCGGCTCCGAAAGCTGGCCAAGCACTTCGTAGCACTTGCCACCAAGCTCTTCTAAAGACGCCAATGTTCGGTTTGCCACTAACGCGTGAACATGATTCTGCACTGACAGTGGCAATACCGCAAACGACGGCATCCCAATAGGACCATGTCCAATGCCAGCTGGAGGTGGTCTTTGTAGTGCTCCACCGTATTGAGGTGGCCCTTGAGGTGCTGGCTGTCGACGCCGCGGGTCCCTCGTATCCTGAGGCGCATCATAGGGACGTTCGTACAACGCTGGAGCAGGACCAGTTGCCATGTGAGCTGGTTGGCCACGATAGCCGCCGCCATTTGCTACATTGTTACTGTTCAAACGCCCGCCTTGAGGAGGTCCACCAAGGACTGACCCACCTTGGGGAAGTGCTCCATAGTTCCCACCTAGCGGAATCGCTGAAGGAGGATGTCCACGAGGAGAAGCCACCTGCGACCGGTGCTGATGTTCTGAAGCAATCGCCTTCTCGTTGACACGGTTGATGATTCCCACCAGAAATCCTTGCAAGTTTTCCACTTGCGACAGATCCACGTTGCTGAAGTTTTCAACAGCTTGCAGTGCCACACGCTCAGGCAAATGCAGCAATCGTGTGACCACATTATCGTTGAGTGGCTCTTGCAACCTGCCTTCGTGACGCATACTGTTTACTACAGACTTTACAGGTGCTGGTAGACGCTCGTACAGATCACTCGAGCCTGGAACTCGAGAGTAGGGAGCACTCCCGGTTGTTGGCTTATCGACGAACCACGGCGACGCGGATCCCGTCCTGCACCAATGCTACTTTGAGAGTAAGACTGATCACGGCGACGCGGATCCTCAGCTCTTCCTCCTGTTGCAATCGGTGGCACTGCTTGAGTAGATGGTGAAGATAGATCTTGACGGCTTCGCGAAGACAGTCGAGGGTCTGCAGCTGGTTTTTGGTTAGCAGAGCGTACTGACCGAATAGGCTCATGTGCAGTTCCTTTATCCAGGTGGACAGCACGCCCAAACTCGTCTACGTCTTTCTGCTGATGCTGTTCAGGCTCCGATCGTAGAACTGTACTTCTTGCTTGTCGAGGAGAGGTTTTCACTGGAAGATCTTTAGGGAGTTGATCCAGTTGATACGGCACTTGGACATTAGACATTCCCGTAATTGGCTGAGGAGGAGCGTACCCGAAGCGAAATAGTCGAGGGTCGCTTTTGTAGTCAGAAATGAAGGCGTCTACAGGCTGCAGCACCGCGATTTGAGGGTTTTCCTTCTGATACTCACGGAAGATGCGCATAAGCTGCCCATTCTTGTCGCGGATATCCCGCATAGGTGTCCGTACGAATCGCGCGATAATGGAAATTTGAGCGAACTCAGGCATAGCACCAACAGATGCAAAAGCAGCACGACTCACTTGAGTGACACGAAACTCACCGGTTGTCTGAAAATCCATCAGTCGGTCCCACGCCACAGCAGAGAGTCCCTTGTGATCTTCTTCATGGTGTTTTTGTTTACTGCTAGAAGACAGCGTAGAATCACCGCTTTCGCACCGATTGCGACTGTGCTTGTCATCACGAGGGCTTTTGTTGCCATCGACAAAGCGGGGTCTTTTGGAATCTGTGTTTCCATTCGCCGATACGTCGGAAGAAATATTGGTTGCTTCATCAATTTTCCTCTTAGCGGGCGTTACGGTAGACAACTCACCAGGTTCATTTGTATGATCTATTTCCATCGCAACAGGTTCCTCAGGTTTTGTTGTCGATGTTATAGATGGATGGTCTGGGTCGTACTCCTCCTGCTGCTCAGCAGCAGGAGAATGGCTAGTACAGTCATTTGCCGTATTGCTTGCAGCAGATGCCTCCACAGGAGTCGGGTTGGCCGGGTCATATTCATCGTCGCCATGAGGTACAGAAGGCGTCACTGTCGGAGACGTCGACGAGTCACATTCACTTTGATCGCACGTTGATGAAGACAGCACCTCACCTTTTGTCTTTTCCACTGAAGTATCTTTATCTGCTTGTCCATCACTTGGAACAGCATGTGTCCCCAAAGAAGGCACAGAAGACTCTGCAGTATCAGACTGACACGCTGCTGACTCATCCATCGATGCATTTTTCATTAACGACTTTTGTTGCATCGCTATCGTCGCCTCGTCATTCATTTCAAGCACTTCAGCCGCATCTGATGTCTCAATAGATTGAATCGTTACTTTTCCATATTTTCCACTAGCTCGATCGTTCTTCTTTTCATAGTCATCACTCCCATGACCATCACTCCCATGACCATCACTCCCAGATCATCACTCCCATGACCATCAGTCCCATGACCATTACTCCCATGACCATCACTCCCATGACCATCACTCCCATGACCATCACTCCCATGACCATCACTCCCATGACCATCACTCCCATGATCATCACTCCCATGATCATCACTCCCACGATCATCACTCCCATGATCATCACTCCCATGATCATCACTCTTCTCCTCATTGGCTGCCATTAATCCAGCGTCATTCGTCTCTACACCGACTAAATTCGACGCCTCAGACGTCGTCTCAAGCGTCGCTTCATCAATCGGTTGTTCCTTGTCCTCTGAATCATTTGTACCCACTGAATTGTCATCTTTAGTCGCCAGTAACGGCGTAGACACGTCATCCAGCAACGGATCGGTGGCTCTTGTTATCTCGTTTTCCGTCTTGTTTTTCTCATTTTCCTTAGCAAAAACCACAGCATCAACGACTTCACTGACTACTGAAGGGTCGAGAGCGGGTGTTTGTCCATCTACAACAGTGGCTGGCGCGCCAGTACCGTCGTTACCATTCAGTCCATGAAGGTCCATGCTGCTGGTCTCAACAGTATTAGATTAAGTATTCATTCACCTCAGTACCCAATATTGTGTGTACACATCAAATTATGGGAAATAACGGGAAATAAAATATCTAGAAAAATGTAGCTATCTTTGTCGACCAGAAGCGTTGGTCTTGTCTATTTTATAGTGTCATTTTCCTGTTTCTTTTCGACCAAACGTCGTGTATAGCCACCGATTCATATGCTCAAGCTTATACGAAAGATACTCCGCCATCATACTACACTTTCTCAGTGATTGCGAGAAAAGAGACGCAAAGAAAACCGATAAGGTCTTCCGAAACCTGCCTCACAGTGTCAGTCTACCTCACACCTTGGTCTTCTACACTAAACCTCTCGATTCAAAGTGTGACCCCGTACTGCGGTCCAGTCTGAAATGTGAAGGCAGCACAGCCAGTAGAGCTCCTCTGCTCGACAGCAAGTCTCGAATATAGTACCAGGTGAGACAGAGTCAGTGAGCATCCGAATCCCGAGCAAACACACTTAGGACTTTGCCACTCATTCTTTCTGGCAAGCAGACTTATGTCGTGTACGATTTAATTCCGCTAACCGGAATTCTGCTAGTGCAACTGGCAGTAGACCACATGTTCGTGATCTTGGTCGGCCAATGCCAACGTTAGTGCTCCAGCCAAACCTTTCATGAGAAAATCAAGCGCCTGAACAATTCCTACTTCAACTGATATCCGCTAGCTGTTATTTGAGCTCCACAACCATGAGTAGTACGGCACAATACAGCACACTAATCAAGAAAGCACCCCAGCATAAATTGAATAAAGTGAAAGGAACTCGGGATATAGAAGAAGGTAAATTGCCATCGAAATCACCATTCCATTTCCGTCAATCTTTTCAAGAAATTCAAAGGTTGAGGTGGCGATCGGACATCACGCGTATTGAGCCTTAATCCAATTGAAATATGCACCCGTCATTTTTAACAGTTGGTCACCGTCGCCCTTGTCAGCCATACCCAGCGGTATGCGCGCAGTACCAGCCTTCCAAGTCTTGTATTGTGCCTCTTGTAACTTCTTCGCTATTTCGTTTACAGAAAAGCTATCATACAGCATCCTTGCAACCAATGCGTCGTCGAACTTGTCCTGAAGAATCTTCAGGACTTCAAGGTCGCTATTCTCCTTGAGCAAATACAGGTAGTTCAACCAAATGGTCCCCCAACGGATTCTCGAAGAGTTTAGTGTCTACCTGTAAGGCCCAAGAACTCGACAACATCTTCCGGGGATCTCTTGTCAGTTTGCCACTTCTTGAACTGAATATTAAGCAGCTGGAAAACGGAAGCTTTCACATCGACGGGGGTTCGTGCAAGCAGCACATCCCAAGAACCTTTGAAACGACTCGACAAAAACGGGGACAGCCACTTAACTGCCTCGTTTGGGAAATCCTTGTGGTATTCTATAAAAAATGAGCTCCATTGCGGAAAGGCTGGGCTGCGAAGAAGAAGTTTGCCTTCTATCTTGTCGAGCTTCAAAAGCTTCAAAACTTCTTTCGGGGATTTCTTGTCAGTGTGCCATTTCGTGAGCTGCACTCTTTGCAGCAAGGGAACGGCAACATTCGCATTAACAGGGGCTCCTGCAAGCAGCCTATCCCAAGAACCTACGAAACGACTCGACAAGAACAAGTACAACAACCTATCCACATCTCCATCGTTCGAGAATTCCTTGTAGAATTCCCTGAAAAATGAGACCCATTGCGAAAAAGCCGGGCTGCGAAGAAAAAGATTGCCTTTTATCTTGTCGAGCTGCAAAAGCGCAAAAACTTGTCCACCACTTTTCTTACTGTCTATCCAGCTCTGGACCTGGGCTTTCAACACTTCTTCAGCTAGATTTTTCCTTTCTTCTGGCAAGTTCTTGGTAAAGAGCTTCACCAGATCACTGGCACTAAAATGGCTAGCAAGGGTTGAGTATATCGCGTTCGACACCTTCTCCACGGAATTTGGATGAAATTTCTCGACGTAAGCGATCCAGGTATGAAAGGCTTCGACTTGAAATAGCTTCGTGGCTTCTCTGTTGTGAATATTCAGTTCAGTAAACTTGTTGTTCGATGATTTCTGCAGCGCCCACTTCGACTTTGGTGCCAACCATGTCGCAGCTTTCTCAGAAACCGAATTCAGGATGGGAACATCAGTTATACTGAATCTCTCCTCGGCATTGCTGACAACGTCACTCGTATCTCTTAAGAGCCGCTGGACGGAGAGCGTGGTATTCACCTCGTTTAGCGCATTCAAAGCGCGCGAGGTGCGAACGGCATCGACAGGGATGGGAGTGTCGCCGGCCACGCTCGTAAATGAGTTTACCACCAGCGCAACAAAAACAATCAGGGCCTTCGTGTAGGCTGTGTTCAGCTCGATCGACATCTTTATACCTTGTGCACTGGGCGCAGCAAAAGAAAAATGACCTCTACGAACTAGAGTTCAGACGATAATTTGTTCCAGAACACCATCATAATTGCAGATCGTCGAATCGTGGTCGCAATGTGTGGTCTTTGTCCACAAATATATATACAGAGCTCCCTCCGTTAAGTTATGGATACGGTGGACGTTGATACCTATAACTTAACGGAGGCTAGAACTTATCAGATTATGTGTATTGTACATAAGAGAACTTGAATAATAAAAAACGGGCCTGGGGAACTAGACCCCCTACAACTAACACGACTTTAACCCTATAATTCAAACTTCTGCCAAAACTTAAGTCCCAGACCCCTTGGTTAATTTACTCGTGCCTAGAGGATGTGAAACATGTCGTCAACTTGTTCATTCAGTACTAATAGTGAAAGCTATATGTTATTTACACTGTTTAACAGTGTCTTACCTGTTAATGTACCTAGACAGTTCAAGATGTCGCAAATCCGGCTTACCAATAAGCAGCGTCTTCAAATTTGCAAGTACAAGGATGAGAATTCAGGATATTTCAGTCGGCACTGGCTAAATGGGCAACAAAGGAGTTCGGCCTTGCCAAAACGCTGTCACAGGCATCGATCAGCAAGATAATTTAAAAGCGGGCTAATCTGGAGACGATGGATCCAAGCAGTCTAAATGCGAAGCGCCAGCGGCTGGTGCAACATCCTTCATTGGAAGAAGCTTTGGATCTTTGGATCCTGCAGTGTCAACACCGCAAGGTGATTATTACTGGGGAATTATTTGCGCGAAGGCCCAGCGACTTGCCCAATCGCTTGGAATACTAAACGAAGCCATCACTTTCTCGCACGGATGGCTACAAAAATTCTAACAACGTCACAAGCTTCGCTTTATTCGAATCCACGGTGAAAGCGGCTCGGTGGACGTAGAGGCTCTTGAATAAAGCTTTGCCTGATCTGAAGATGGTCATTGCCGAGTACGCTCTGTGTGATATTTACAACATGGATGAAACTGGTAACGTTCCCTGGATGATTATTAGTCTAATTAATAAATTATATTAGGACTGTTTTACAGCATTACACCTGACAGGACTATTGCTCAGCAAGAGTTTGAAGGACACAAGAAAAACAAAGTAAGTAAAATTCTAAATGACTAATTGTAATATACTTACACAGTGTATGCGTTGTCATCATCTGCAGATGCGAATCTCTATTGCGCTCACTGCAAATGCAGGTGGATCTGACAAGCTGCAGCCTGTCTTTATCAGAAAGCAAAGAAGCCCCGGTGCTTTAAGAAGAAGTCAGGACAAGCACTTGGTTTTTCTTACCGAAACAGCACAATGGCTTGGATGACGGGCGTGATCTTTCAAGAATGGCTTGAAAATGTGGACAAAACAATGAAGGTGCGTGATTAGATAAAATTACTGACTTCTATTCTATATTGATTCTATTATAGTCTTATCAGAGCAAAAACAAAAAAATCTTCTTTTGCTCGACAACGCCCCGTCGCATATCACAGATGGCCTGGAATTAACAAATGTCAAGGTACAGCTGCTACCCCCAATTACGACATCCAAGATCCAGCCGATGGATGCCGGCATCATCGCAGCATTTAAGCGGCGGTATCGCCGCTACCATCTGCAAAACAAGATTGATTGTGACGAGCGTGGGGAAGCCGGAAACATATACAAAGTCGACCAAATTACTGCCATGCGCTGGTCGGTGGCTGCCTGGAACGAGATCTCTGACAATACCATTGCCAACTGCTTTAATCACACGAGGCTGTTATCAGATCTTCCCGACATTTCAACTGCTGTAGATGTAAAGAGAAAAGGGATGGCGCGAAGGAGCTTGAAAATGCAGAACTTGAGCTGGAGCAGGAGCTGAGAGACCAGCTAGAGCAACTGCGTGTCCGGGATCCCATGACGATTTTGGAGCTTCTCAATCCCATCGATGAGAATGAGACTGCTCAGCCAGAGCTGACCGAGGACGAGATTTTGGAAGAGGTAAAGGAGGCTCAGGAGGAGGATGCAGACAGTGATGACGTGGCCATTGTCGCAGAAAGGTTCACCCGAACCAAAAAGATCAACCTCCTTCGTGATACGTGCTACCTGCTCATTGTTTTCATGGAAATTCACCAAGCTGCTTATAAAGTCCTCCGCGACCTTCAACTTGACATTCGCAACGCACCCACCACCCAAACTACCCTCGACATGTGGTTCAAGTAGGTTTTAAATACAAAAAATTGCTCATTTTATAAAGTTATATTGCCCTGCCAGAATACAACTTATAACTTATAACTTAGCGACCATAGAACGAGCTCGGTGGACACGAAATTTGATAAACTACCGGAGATTATAACTTATCGGAGGATAACTTATTGGAGGGAGGTCTGTATATTATTAGGTGATCTACACAATTTAAGTAGTCCAAAGTGATGTGACCCACGCCAGCTGTGTGATCTACATGTACTGTGTAGTTCACACCAAAGGTGTGGATTCTTTGACCGCTATACGCACCATAGTCAAGTTCCCTTTTCCACCATTGAATGCAACTTCCTTGCATATTGTACTCCTTTTGACAGCTCGATCGCTGTTGGCCGCACCATCCTTCTTCGTGTAACTGCATTACTTTGTGTAATGGTAAAACCTATCACAGCTGTAGCTATAGAATAATTACATTAGTAGGTGGAGACAGTATCTTGAAATGCGCGTCATACTATTTTTACTTTTATATTGGCCCATAAATTAGCCAGTTATAGATTATCCTACATTGATATGATTCCCATGAGTTATACAAGCAATCTATACTTTGTACAAATTACTACAAATTAAATTTACCTAATTAATCACAGCGCTTCCTCAACGATCTTCTAGTGTAAACAAATACGGGGCCTCTCACCCCGTTACATAGTCCTTTTCCAATAAACAGATTCCAGATGAACATGGACGAGTTTTTCGGTGACTTCAGCGGTTAGCTAGAGCATTCAGACTTCTCACATCTCACCTCGGTGGAGAGGCATGCACTACACAGCTGTCTGGTGAGATCGTCGTGACGTCGCTGCTGCGTAGTAAGGCTCAATCAATAGCGTGCCGCCATCCAAGATTACATGGTGTGCGAGCTTAACAAAGCGAATCGGCAAGTATCGACTCCCTCGCGCACCTCGTAATATGATGCTATAAAGATGGAGACGTCCACCTACTCCGGTAACGGTCCGGATCGTCTCCCCCTCAATCGTCGCTGTTTCGCGAGGTCAATATCGCGATAGCGTTAAGATTGATTGACGCTTTGACGGACAGATTTATTTTCCTGCTGTCTCGGCTTATTGGCAAGGTCAAGGTATAGGCTCTTGGGCAGCTCGTCGTAGACGAGTTGGCGTTCCCTACGCTAAACGATATTCAGCGTAAATTATGACTGGCATTCGAGATTCCTAACGATGAATCTCGCTTCCGTGCAGACTTCTATTCACTCAACCAGGGCAAGCTGTCGATGCGTGATAATGTGCAAAAGACACAACATCTTAATACTTGTATCACTGTGGTGAAGTGCTAATTTGGTGATGTGGAGGTCCCAGAATCCAGTTGGATTCGGAGTATAGACCGTGGGTCAGGGACAGGGGACCAGAGAGACAGGGGCCTCGAAGGGGAGCGACCGTTGGTGGAGAACAATCCGCAGGACCCACCGAAGAAAATCAGTATCAGGTTACCGGTTAACCGGTACCAAAGGGAGTCGATCATGGCCCTTCATTGATCGACTTTGCCCCTCGTTGGTAGACCCGGGTCTCTCATAGGTCGACCTGGGTCCCTCATTGGTCGACCCGGTCCCTCATTGGTCGACCTCGGCCCCTCATTGGTCGACCCGATCCCTCATCGGTAGACCTGGGTTCCTCATTGGTCGACCTCGGCCCCTCATTGGTCGACCCGATCCCTCATCGGTAGACCTGGGTTCCTCATTGGTCGACCTGTGTCACTCATTGGTCGACCTCGGCCTCTCGGGGTTCAGCCACTCCGGACCTGTTAATACAAGGATCAGACTAGTCGACGCAAGGAATCAGAGCTTCAGGCAAGGATATAGTAAAGGAGTTAAAAAGATAGGACTATATTAAATACTACTCAATTTGCGATCTACGTGGCACGACTCCGTCACCCAAGAAGGATTTGTTCTAAGTTACTCACTGTTCCGGGAAGGGATATATTTTGGCCCCCCGTCGAATAGACAGTTGTGTAGCGAAGTTCAAGTGCGAATAGAGCTCCAGGATATATTTGGCCTGTGAGCTCGTTCGAGAAGCAACGCCCCCCAAGACCCGCTATCGGAAGCGGTCTCCCCCACCTCAAGGTCCTGGAGCAACGTAAAGGTCAGGTGGTTGATACCCCTGAAACAAGAAGGAAAAGGCCAGGGATAAGCTCCCTGAAGAATTTGGCTCTAAGTCCACTCTCGACAAGGTCGATCGAGTGGCCACCTACCGGCCCACCGAGTGAAGCATATCCACTCGAGGCCCCCCAGGTCTACCTCCCTCAAGGCAGACGTCTACATCTTCACCAAGTCCTCCGAAGAGTGCAACCCGCCAGCCTACGGGTACACAAGGTGAGAGAAGGATCATACGCGGCATCGGGGTACCCCCTCCGACAGTCGGCAGTCCGGCACAGTGAGTGGTTTGGGGTCTCATCATACAATTTTGAGAACCCACTCCACCACATCACCACATAGCCAATCAACATGGATTCACAAAATCATGTCTTCGTCTTTAGTATGCAGGAGGGCATGAAAGGTTACTGCCTCACACATGGTCAGCCGAGGTCTTTTGAGGTGGTATTTGCCCTCACTCTACAATAATATTCCACAGTCGAGTCATCGTACTTGCACGCAGCGTCGCAACGTCCTTAGATGTGTGGTGCAGAGCCAATAGAGCTCGACGCAACCAAAATCTCTTTCGTGGTCGCGGCAAATCATTAGGCCGCGACATTTGTAGTCAAAGATGGTGAGGCCCAGATTTTTTTTAGGCGTAGCATGAGCCCTCTTCACTCTGGAATACGTCAATTGACCAAAGCGTAATACGTGAGCGATCCAGGGGGCGCAAAGCTCGATCCATATATTTGAACATACTCGGCACATTCTTCCGCAATGTGCTTCTTCATTTCGGTCCATCTTTTGTCAAAGTCTTTCTCGGTAAATGTTCGCAGGCACAAATTTGCAAAGCTTTCCAGTGATGGGTCCCAAGTATCCATATCCACTCCCGTTAGTGCAGCATCTTCAATTTCCTTTTTGGAAGGGAGTTTACCGTAATGATATTTTCGTGATTTTGTGGATATGCCAGTACCAAAGACGATGAGACACTTCGACGAAAGCATTACTCACTGCGTTTCCACTTGCTATATATGCGAAGGTCACACTTGCTTTCGGTTTAAGGATAAGACCAAAATTCAACGCCGACTGCAAAATTCAGATTAAATCTTCCTCTGTGGCTGTAACGGGTCCCAAACGTCACACTTACACGTTAAGTGTGCGATACTTAACCGCAAAATCTACGTAAGTACTTAAGATATGTCGCTTGGGTGAGACACATCATGTGACACACCCTTTCGAATGTAATTATCACTAGGTGTATTGACATTTGGAGGGAGTGACGCCCAGTTGGGACTAGGCGCCGTCAAACGACGTCAGTCAATATGTCACTAAGCAAGCTTAAATGTACTTAAGCTCGCACGAAGGATGCGTCTTCAGAGATGGTATCCATTCATTACATAATGTCCAATCCGTAGGTAAATTAATTTGAAGCTATATCTAACAAATATAAATCAGTCTTGACTTTGCTAACTTAATGCTCACTGCCCACGAGATAGCTGTTTATAGATTCTACGTGGTGTAAGTGAGTTCTTGGATACCGGCAGCCGTTGGTACGACCGCTTAAGCGGTCGATCTGTCACCCCACCACCACACACGAGGGTTTGACATTCCTCGCTTGTGTGCCAGTAGTACGTGGCAGCTTCCTAGAAGTGCAAGTCTGCAGTGGCAGTGCGCATAAAGAGAGTAGGCTAATGTTAACGCTCGATTGGCATATGTGGAGCTGATGATATGCAGCATTCCAGCGCCATGAGCATTTGTGCGATTTCGTCCAGATCCACCAGAGGCGTTTGACCTTCCATTTTTAGTAGCTCGAGCACCGTGGGCGCGATAATTAGCAGGTGCGTGAAATGCTCATCGACGTCCACTCGAGTTTGGAATCTTGCGTCGTCCGCACTTAAATCTCTCCAAAATCCCTTCCATTTCTGTCTGTCCATCCAATTTCTTACGCGCTCAGACATTTGGATGTTGACTACATCCTTATCAACTACTAGACAGACCTCATTTCGAAGGTCACTTTTTATCACATATAAGGCGAATGCCGGCTCCAAACCAGATCTCAGCAATCGCTTCCACTATTCAAGATTCTCCTTTCTCATTCTCTTGAAAATGGGCAAAGATTGCAAATCAAGCGCAGAGGAAGGATATGCTTCCCAGCAAAGCGTTACTGAAGTAGCCAGTATTGACGGGCACATTATTCATAATAGTGGCGCTCCACTTGCATTCCGTCAACAGAGAGAGGCGCTTTCGTTTCGGCTCCGCCCCGTCTTCCAAGCGACTGAATGGTTTCCCTGCACTAGCGCATGGGTAATGGGGATCCAAGCAACTTTAGGGTCGGCTGATTTGGCTCTCTTTAAACGGTTCGTTTTTTTCTTTTTTTGTGCTCGTGACAGGCTTTCTTTTGAGGTAGAAAGGGCGTGATGAATTGGATTCTTATGATTGTGCGGTGAAGTGCCAGGAAAAGTTGGAGTTTAAGGGAAATGGAACAGAGAGCAAGAGAATTTCTGGTCACTTCCCCGAGGGAGTGACCACGACCGGGCCTCGCGGATTTACAACCACACACCAGGCCCCGCCTTATTAAGAATATAAGGACCCAGACGTGCGGAGCCAGCACAGGCCCCAGGCCCCGGAAACAGGTTCCAGGGTAACAGGGCCCAGGGTTACAGGGGCCCAAGGGCCCAGGGGTACCGGGGTACAGGGCCCAATGTCCGAGGGTGCAGAATCGGTACACAGAATATTAAAGAGTACAGAAAGTACGGGTACCAAGGAGCCAATTCTTCTCCCAAGAGTCGACACGGGGCACTACCCAGATCAAAGGGTTAAGGTTAGGCAAGAAAAGCATACAGAGAATAAGATAAATAAACACACTCGAATTTGCATTACACGTGGCAGCTTTAAGCGCCCCTTCTAAGCTTCTCCGTAGCTTCACCTCTTCCGGGCGGGATACCCTTTGGCCCCCCGACGTCCATCAGGTGTTAAACGGCTCAAGCAACGCAAGTTGAACCTCAGGATAGTTGGCCTGAGGTGTCAAGTAAGTGTCAAGTCTCTACGACCCGCTACAGGAAGCGGTTTCCCTACGGGGAAGAACACAAAGGGGTCCAAGGACCAAGAATAGTCAGCCACCAAACGGTTACGCAGTACCAGGTGCATCGCTCTCGACTAAGTCGATTGAGCCCAAGAAGCCCGGTCCCAAGTAAAGTATATCCGCTCGGGGACCACCAAGTCCAAGTCTTATACAAAGACCAAGTCTTTAGTCTTCTGCGTCAACCGAGGAGCAAGACCAGCCAAGCCGACGGGTACACAAGGTGAGACCCAAGGCCAACACGACACGGTATCGGGGTACCCCCTCCGTAAGTCGGCAGTCCGGCGCTGTGTGTGTTTGTGGATCTCCTACGTTGCTTGAGAATCCACTCCACCACAATTGTATGATATGACCCCAACTACTCACTGTGCCGGACTGCCGACTGTCCGAGGGGGTACTCCGATGACGCGTATGGACCTTCTCTCGCCTTTGTACCCGTCGGCTGGCGGGTAACGCTCTCCGGAAGACTTGGTGAGGACGTAGATGTCGGCCTTGAAATAGGTAAATTTGAGGTATATGCTTCACTCGGTGAGCCGATAGGTAGCTACTCGATCGACCTGGTCGAGAGGGGACTTATACTAAAATTCTTCAGGGAGCTTGTCATCCCTAGAATTTTCCTTGATTGTCTCGGGGGTTAAACTACCTGATCTTTGCTTTGCTCCCTAACCTCTAGGTAGAGGAGACCGTTTCCGATAGCGGGTCCTTGACGGTGCTGCTCGAGACGATCTTACAGGCCAAATATATTCTAGGGTTCGATTCGCACTTGAGTCTAACCAAACGACTGTATTCAACGGGGTGGGGTAGGGGGACAAATATATTTCTTCCCCGGAACAGGCGCGTGGTCAGACTCGAGTCGCTTTCAGCGTGACGAAGACGTGTTAAGTAGATCGCAAATTGAGTAGTATTTAATATTGTCCTATCCTTTAACCTCTTTACTCTATCCTTGCCTTATACCCTGATTCTTTTTGTTGATTGGACAGGAGTAGCCCGATCACGAAGAGACGATGTCTACTTATGAGGTACCGAGGTCTACCGATAAAACTCCAAGGCCTACCGATGAGGTACCAAGGTCTAACGATGAGAGACCGAGGCCGACCGACGAGGGACCGAGGTCTAACGACGAGGGACCGAGGTCTACCGATGAGGTGTTAGGCCTACCAATGAGGGACCGAAACCTACCGACGAGGGACCGTGGCCCAACGACAAGAGACTGAGGTATACCGATGAAGAACCAGGTCTAAAAATTGGGGACCTGGTCTTTTAATAATAGACCCCGGTCCTTCCTTGGTAGACCCCAGCTCCTCAGTGTTAGACCTCAGTTCCCAATTGGTAGACCTGGTCTTTCAACAATAAACCCCGTTTTAATCGGGAACCGAGGTCTAACACCGAGGAGCTGGGGTCTACCAATGAGGGACCGAGTTCTACCGTTTAGAGAACGGGTCTTCTAATGTTGGACCGGGTCTTTCGGGTGGAGTTCTTTCGGTATTGTTTCATTGGTACTTTGATATTGATCTCCCCGTTGTTGGTCCTTCAAATTATTCACGTGGTCCTCTCTCTCTCCATTTTTTCCGTGGTGAGCGGTCCTGTGGTCTTTCCATCCAATTGGCCCCTTCGTTCCTTCACATTTCGATAAAAGCACTTTACCACGAGGGCATCGTCAAAATTGGCAAATACCATTTCAGTGAACATATTTTTCGGAAGCATTGGCAATATGATTTCGTCGTCAAACTTACTGGTAGGGTCATAGTTTTGAGAAGGGGCATCGTTATGTCCAAGAAAAGAGTTGCCGACGTCAATCTCTTGATCGTTTGGCAGGTCAGAGATTAAGGAGCTTTCGTTGTAACTTGCCATGACAGTTAAAGTATATCTACCCGATTGTCGGAAAATGGACTATATACGCGTCACAAAGTCAGATCAGTTCACTTACTTCGTGCAATGCCGCTCCATATAACTAAAAGAAAATTAAATGAGTGATAGGTGCGGCAAATGGGTGCGGATTGAATTTTTAGTGGGTGTAGAAAATTCACTCTAATGTTAGCGCCAATGTTGTGTAACGGGCTCAATCCGTTACACCTTTGCAATAGAGTGCTTTTCAGTCATATGCTGCCCATTGGCCTGCTCGACCCAATCATCGTCACTGGCACGCGTTTGCTTCGATATGGCGAAAATTTGCGTTATTGACTGCCTGGAATGGCATTCAAGTGCGTGCTAGCGTGCCGAACATGCACCACTTTGACGGAGCTACTTGTTGTTTAGATAATGTTAGACCTCCAATACTCCAGCCGTGCCTGTATGTTTGCTTGGTAAACACTTTACAGCATGTATTGTAGCTGTTTGCCCAATTGCATACCTCCACCAAACCTGGGAGCTGGTAGTTCAAGTAAATAAATATCTGCATACTTTTTTTAAGCAAGAGGCATTTGCTTCGGCATCTCATTTTTATCCTGCTCGCTATCAGCTGCTCGTAATCGTTGTAGCCCTTGGCTGCTTGTTTTTTTTAACGCAAGCTGGAATGTTGCCTATCCGAACCAGCACCTCATTGAGAAAACGCTGGCCAAAGTATACGGCTGGGTCGGTCTTTTTGAGCGAGCATCCCTGCATGCATGAACAGCTTTAAGCTGGCCGTCAAAATTGCGTATTCGCTTATGTTAGTCTGCCATTGTCAAGGTTACCCACCAATTGTGGGTGACATATCCAACACAAGTGTCAATGAACGCGGTGTGGAGACAGTTAAGGCCAAACGCGCTATGCTGGCTTGATGCTAGCAAGCGTTTTTTGTGAAGCTGTTGAGAGAACATGGTCATGATAAAGACTATCTACGTTTGGTCCGTGTGTGAAGGTGCAGCCATGCTCTGCCAAGTTGGTACATTATCGAACACCGATGAAATTAAAGCATCTGCTGACATCGATTGGGTGAAGACGCGTCGTTTATTAACTTGCATCCGTGCTAGCTTGTGAAGCTTAATTCAACACCCGACAAAGAAACTAGGGTGCATTGAGCGTATAGAATAGCATCGGTACGCGCAACGCTTATTTAAGCTAGCAGATTCTCGCCGTTGAAGTGGAAGAGGCACACGCTGCCACTGAACATGGCAACGCTGACAAGAAGCTGCTGGTGCTTCGTGATAAACGCTGTGGCGCGCTCGCGAGAGTTCTGATACCACGATTTGCGCTGCACAGGCGCCATACCGGCGCCAAAACGACCGCCAAGAAGATTTGCCTTTGATTTGGAAATACTTATGGCGTTCGACTGACGTTGGCTCGCGTTCAGACGATCGTGCTTGATGCGCAAGCTTGCAGCCTCGCGTTCCAGCACGAGGAGCGCAGCTTCGGCCTCCTGCTTCTTCTTTGACAACGCCACTACGGCAATACTCAACTTCTCAGCCTCGGACAACACAAAGTTCGCCTTAACGTGAAAACGGCTACTCGCCGGCTCAACCTTCTCGGCTTCTTCAGTCTGTTCAACCTCATCCACGGTATTGGCCTTTTCGGTTTCATCGACCTTCACAGCTTCCTCGGTCTTCTCGGCTTCATCAGTCTTCACGACTTCCTCGGCCTGTTCCACCTCGTCAGAAGTGGTAGCAGCCGTAGCAGTTTCCTCAACTATTCCTTCCTTCTCCGTCTCCTCGGCTTCCTGGGTCTTCTTGACCTCAGCCTCCTCAACCTCCCCGATTTCCTCAGCAGTAGTCTTCTCTTCATTCGTCTCTATTACAACCTCTTCCACGATCTCTGTAATTGTCGTCGGCACCTCCTCTTCTTCCTCGTCCGCAGTAGAGTACCACTTGTCTAGAACGTTATCCTGGAAAAGTGACGATATAGGAAACTCAATCTCCTTCACCGGCTCGGCTTCTTCCTCCGCCTCCTCAGCTCCAGCGACCGTGACGATCACGACAGCCTCGCGCGATTGCACGGGGTCGAACACAAACGTGGCGGGGAAGGTCAGCGTCTCTGTCTCACCCGTATCCTCCTCACTCGTAGTAGCCGCTTTCCAAGCGACCGTTCGCACCACCGGTGCCTTCTCCTTCTTGACACGCTTCTTGATAATCGTGCGAGTGATCTTTGTGGTGGTCTTGAGTTTCCGGGGCGAGACGTCGTTGTCCTGCTGAGATCCCTGGCCTTTCTCTACCACGTTGCCATCCTCATCCGTCATCACAACTTCCTTCTTCTCCAGAACTTCCTCGACGGTCTCGTACTCATCGGCTTCGTACTCAGGGTCCATGGAAACAGTGATGGTAGCATTAGGCACGGGCTCCTCTCCCTCTACACCAGCCAAAGTGACCTCAAGACGACCAACACTCTTCGATCGTGCCTTCGCCTCCTCGGAAAGCTCCTCTTGACCCTCCACAGCCTCGGATAATGCCGTGATCTGCTGGAACACAGCGGAGATCTGCTCGTCCAGTAGCTTTACCTCGTCCACCTTGGCCGTAACATTCCGACGGCATTCAAGATATTGTTCGGATGTACGCTGCGTCATGGCAGCCACTGCAGCCGAGGATGATGTAGAAGCCATCAACGAGATTTTCTGCGGCTATTGATTAATACGTGGTGTGGGGCGTGGCGATGGTAATTGTGTCTACCACATAAATCCATTTTTGACATGGTGTACACCACATATTCGCAGGAGGTCGTTTTCAGTCGCATTCACATACTGTAGCCCACAGACAGACTATCCATTTAAATTAATAGAGGGTATAATTAATCGGCTGTCTAGTTGCCCATCTTTTCCAGCCAAAATGGGCACACTCTACCGTCTCCCTCGACTTTTACAAGAGCATATACTTACCGAAGAAACATGAAGGAATCCTGCGTCGAAACAGATGATGCGTGGAACCAGCCGGTGAGCTTCTCTAATGCCTGTGCCTCGTCGTCTTCCTTGATACTTAAGGCATATCCACCGCCCTCAATGAGGCGCCCGGCATTGCTTAGGTTCGATTGCATGTTGAATGAGCCAATATTGGCTTCGAGACTGATGCGTTCCGAGAAATGCGACACTTGCATGGACGAAACAGATCTTGAGCCGATCATGAACGAATCGTTGTTGCAGCAACTGCTTTTACTAGACAACAGTAGCGTAGGAACAGGAGAAGCGGGGACACTACTTCCACTACGTCCAAAAAACTGGAAGGATACACCAGGCTCCTCCTCGTGCTGTAAGTGAGTGTTAGTCATCTTGGTGCTCGTGGTTTGAATACGTGATTCACTTTGGTTGTGAGGCACAATCTGCTTCCGCTGTTGACCGTGTGGTAGCGAGACGGGAATGCTCTCCTCTGTGTAAAGGATGAACTCGTTTGTCACAACCTCTGCAATGGGAGGTTGTATGTTTTTGTCTCCGTTGTGTCTTGAGTTGGACATCAAACATCTCGAGTACTTGCTGACAAGAGCCGTAGTCGACGCATCAGTCGTAGCCAAGACTTTGGAGCTCCTACATTGATTCATGTTGCGACGGCTATTCGCACGAAGTTGCGTCTCTTTCTTTTTGTACATGCGGGAGGACAAGAGCTCGTCGTCACTGTCTGAGGCATTGGAAAGCGTTGGCGCACTCCGGCAGTAGTAATCCGTCGAATTCACCTCGTTGATTCCGAAAGACCCGGCGTTTCGCATGATCGCCGAGTCTGTACAGTTTGTGTTGTTGGTGAACATGGTGCCATTGGACGCCATCATAGTGTCGCTCACATGACTGAAGTTGCGGCCGCCAAACTTATTCTTGCGCTCCTCGAGAAAGAAAATGTGCTCGAGCGTCAGGGACGGCCGATGGCACAAACACTTGGAGCCGCGCACACCACATCTTCTACATCTACGCAACCAGTTGAATTTAAAGAGACTGAACCATACGATGATCCCCATGGACCGCAGCGCACGTCACGGACTCTTGACGAAGAAAACGACAATGACAATGACTTAAAGCCGTCGAGTCTACAAGTGCGTAGGTGTGTTCTATGCAGTTGAGCTGTCCCCTTTTACTGCACGTGAAGGTTTACGTGCTTGGATGGGCAAGATAGCCACTGCGAGCTGTCCTCAACAAGCTTTTCCCTGATACATATCGTTGAATTAGCGATCGACGAAGCTTGCCCGTCTTCCTTCGTAGGGTCGAATGCAACATATGATAAGGCAAATGATCTGACCTGTCACGGTCATACGCCATCACTGCAATGGGAACTCGACTATTGCATTGCACACAAATCGTCACGTGCGACACGATAAAAAGCCACACGATTTCGAACATTTGAGATATTTGCACGTGTGGCATATGGATGTCGTAGCTCGTTACCCTCTCTCTACGTGTTGCTCTTGGGCCGAACTAATCACCGCACGTGCTTCTGCGTGCACAAAAAGCTGAATGATCGGGAAAGAGGAACGGCGAGGGGACGCGAGATGAGGCCACTCACTCAGCTGATGAATTGTACCTGCTTCACTTATAACGAAGAGCTCAGCTGATGGATCCATGCAGCTGACCTTTGCCAGACGGACGAAAGTAGCATCATTTCATCATGAAAGCTTTAAACAGATTGACATTCTATTCAGTTGCAGGAACCCTGCTAGGAAAAGGAAGGAGGATGGACAGATCCAAAGATCATGGTCATTGCTTGGAACGCGCGGTAGGTACACGGCATTCTACAGAGTGCTCAAGTATTCTCGCTAAAGCCTTAAAGTGCCATGCAACATTGGGCCAGAGCGTGGAATGTGTGCCGTCAGAAGTGACGTGGGTTGTCCCGGCATTTGCACAGCAGTCATCCGCACTATGAATGCGACGGACGGCTTAGTTAGTGACGCTCTAGGAGAGCCAGAGTGGACCATAATAAAAAGTGCAGACACGAGACAAAAAAGAGCTTAGCCTATAGCTGTATCAAATCCTTCAAGTATTTCTTGGGCCGTAAGAAACGTGATCTCCGTGCGCATCCCACGACAATTGGCACTGATTTCTCGGATTGGACCTTCCTTTTACGTTTGGAGCATGTATCGATAGAGCTGATCCTGTCGATTTTTCTTGGATCGTGTTTCAATGAATGCGTACTGTAATATATCTCACGGACGTACGGACATCTAAACAACTTTTTGTAACATCGGGTGATGCCTCAAAAGTTGCTGTTGGGAATTCTTCATCACGTGTCGAAGATTCAGAAGAACCTAGCTGAGACCATTGCTAATGTGAAGTTCTGCGGAATTCTCTCACTACGTCATGTATCATTGGAAGGTTCTTGTCAAAGACGGACGACCGACCGAGTCGTTGTTTCCACGTTGTAGTGGTTTTCCATTTTCGTCACAACCACTGCCTCTACTCGCCTCTTGGAGAATTCAAGCTCTTGTTGACGCTTCTGGATTCCATTTTTCTCGTTACCACCTTTTGCAATTTGTTCGTCGAGCTTGACGGCGTTCAGTCGCTCGGTACCTGTCATTGCCTCCATGTACGTACGGAGCGCAATTTGGGACTTTTGCATTCCTATCGACGACTCTTCAGCTAATGCTGATGAACCATAAGATAGCTTCATTGTTTCCCATTCATCCTTCAGTACAGCAAGTAATCTTGCAATACTAAAAGCGAAGCAGAACCCGACTATCTCGGTTCGAAAGAGTGTAGTCGATCGCGATGACTGATCTGCTGCAAGTGATCCAGTCGGAGCACCACCGACGCGGCCAAATGATGTCACTTGCAAGCTTTGGATCGAAGCGTTCGTAAACGGGTGCAATGCATACAATTTGGGTACATCTTGGTTCGACATGGCTTGCAACAGTGATAACATACATTAGATGCACAAGATACGATGGTGTATTGCATAGAACAGCAAAAAAAGACAGAGTTTTACGTACGTGCTCGGTTGATGAGAAACTCGTAGAGTCCATGTACAGCGTCGTGTCCGTGAAAGAGTAGCAGCGAGTCAGCACCATGCATATTTTCTGGGGCTATGGGTGCAAAAGCCATGCCACCGCCATTATCTCGATTTTTGAAGCGATTCGCTTCGAGCTCTTCTGCTAGCATGTGAAACTCGCCAACTTCGCGCTGCGTCTGATTTGTATTGATGTACGGCATGGTGTATGCTACGTTGAGGTGGTGCAATGCCTTGCGAGTTCTCCCGCTTGACTGGGACATGACTGCACAGAGCCTTGCTTTCGAGGTGCACTTGCTCTCTACCTCTTTCTCGGAGAGTCCTGCTTCTGAGTCATGCTGCCGGCATAAGTTAATAATTGATGAGATGTCCCCAGCATCTTTTGCGGTACTCTCGCTGCCTGCTTCATACTCGAAGTAAACTACAAAGTCGCTCGAACGGAGATAGAACGAGCTATCGTGGGCTTTACCACCTCCCTGTTGCCGGAAGTTCATGTAGACGTCACGAAATGCTTTCTGCCACGTATTCCAACGCGCCGTGAAAAACGCCTTCTCTACCCGTTCGCGCTCACCGTCGGGTCCTCCTAATAACTGTTCACTTGTATTTGCACCAGTGGCGTGGTTGAGGAGCATGGATGCCGGCACGGAATCCGCGGGGTGTACGAAATAATGTAATGCCTGCTGCCATCGCATTGCATTGCTATGAGAAGTAGATTGAATGGCGCTACCGGCAACAAATCGATGCAGTGCTTGTTTCTTGATCTGTGAACTGATGCACACAGCGAATCACTTGTCAGCACAAAAAACTCGTTATGAACGTAGCCCATAACACATTCATGACCACTTACTTGACGCGCGTAAAAGGAAAAGGAAATGCAGTAAGAATCGATAGTTTTGTCTTGGGCACGACGTCCAGCGGTAGATCTGTAACCTGCTAATCACAGTAAAATATGAGCAACATCTTTTCATTATGTTTCCCGATAGAACATTTAGCTCACATGGAAAATGTTCGGGACGTTTGCACCCGGAATAAGTTGTCGTCTCTTATGACTCAAGAGTGACGATGCGTACAGCGAATGCAAACGCGTTGCCGTGGTACCAGTTGCATGTGACAATTTTTTCTCTTCACGAGCCAATGAAGAGAATTGTTTTGCTACAACAGTCGATGATTCAGCAGTATTTGCTTCCTCCTTCTCCTCAATAGAATTCTGATCGTCCAGTTCAATTTCATTGTCCTCAGCAGCTTTCCTTGTCGGCTTTGGTCTGTGTAACGATTAATTTGTGTCGTCAATTAATCAACTCAAAGACCTGATACAGGTGTATCTATCAACCTGGTAAGCTTTGAACAAGTATAAGAAGAGTCCAAAGATGCTCGCGCCTTCTTCTCCGCCAATACTTGAAGTTTCGCTTCCCGACGTCGTTTCTACAAGCAAGAACAGGTTGTCGGTCCATCAAATCTAACGATCTTCCAGCAAGCAGAATCATCCGTGAGAGTTTCGTACCCGCAGCTCCTTCGGTAAAAGCCTCTTTGCCTTGTCCAAATTACACTTGACCGGACTTGGCGTTCCATTTGACGTCTGTGGTTCCTTATTGGGCTCTAATGCTGTCTCATCACTAATCGTCGTCATGGCAGCAGGACAATACTGGAGCTCGTCGCGTCTGATAAATATAGAATGTAACAGTATTGCGTATCGATATTAATTTCCACAGGTTACTTGCCTTGGAAGCCATTCATACATACAGAACACATGGTGTCAGACTCAGAGCCCGTGGGTCACGCCGTGATCCTCTTCTATAAGTACGTGGAAGTGGAGAATCCACTGGTGCTCAAGAAAGAGCAAGAGGAGTTATGCGAACGTCTGGGACTTGTGGGTCGTATCCTGATTAGCGAGGAAGGTATCAACGCTACGCTTTCGAGTCCGTCACGTGCCAATATCGACAAGTATATCGCTTTCCTATGCACCCACGAGGTGTTTTCCATGCGTAATGAGGATATTAAGTACAGTATATGCGCACAGGAAGAGCCACCATTTGTAGGGCTCATTGTCAAGCACGTTAAAGAGATTGTGTCGACTGGTGGTATCGTCCCTCGCCCTGACATGACGGCGTCGGATGAGGACCGAGGATATTTGACGCCGCGGCAATTCCACGAAGCGATGCAAGAGGCAATTGAGAACAAAAAGGGCACGATAGTGTTGGACGTTCGTGCTCACAAGGAGTTTTTGGTGGGGCATTTTGAGAATGCTGTTGATCCTAAAGTGAAGAACTTTTCCGAGTATTACGCTTTTCTACAGACCCGAGTAGATGAGATGAAAGAAAAGAAGGTGCTTATGTATTGTACAGGTGGCATACGGTGTGAGAAGGCATCGAACTTTCTCCGTAGTCAAGGTGTGAACGACGTACACCATCTCAAAGGTGGCATTCATAAGTATCTCGAGACTTACCAAGATGGAGGATTTTTTCGTGGCAAGAACTTTTTGTTTGATAAACGGTGAGTAGATGGACAGTCTATTGTTTCTCATAGTGCTGACAAGTCTGACTAGTGTGGTGTGGTGCTGTTGTTTTGAAGGGTTTTGATGGGAGCAGAGAAAAGCAATGAAATTGTAGGCAAGTGCATTGAATGCCAGGCACCTTTTGATGAATTCAGTGGACGGAAAGTGTGCACTGTGTGTCGTGACCTGGTGTTGGTGTGTGACAGATGCTACTATGCTCGTCATGGCGAGGTGCACTGCACAGATCACCAGTACCTCAAGCACTGCTACGTCACATTCCTGCAGTACATGTCGCGTGCTGAATTGCTAGAACATCAGAGAGAACTTGAGAAGATCCTCGTGGAATTATTGGAAGACAAGCACAGCAGCAAGAACAAGCGTCGGTCCATTCGCAATCAGGTCAACAAAATCAAATCTCGTCTAGAGACGATCGATGCCAACCCGGCAGCTGCTGCAGCGGTATTGGCCTTAGATCCTCGTCCTATCCACTGCCGTACTTGCGGTCTGGCGACGTGTATGGGCAAGTGCTGGGGTTTCTGGAGCGATAAAGTACTGCTTCCACCTGCACAAGTTTAGTAACAACAAAATACTAGACAACAATGTAGCCATTGGCATTTGTTACAACTTGTGACAATTTCAAAACTATTCACTTCAACTTGTTCCACTTCAACTTCAGTGCGGACAATTATTATGACCAAGAAGAGCGTACCAAGACGAAAACGCAGTGCTCCTGCACATGCAGCAGCACCCAAGAAAAAGAAAGTTGTGGCAGCAAAGAAAAAGCACGTACGGGAACTGGTCAAGGCGGGACTATGGGGCGAGGTACGCGAAGCCGCTAGCAAAGACGTGACCTTTTATAACTAATAAAATATTTCTTACGTAATATTGCAATATTGCAATATTTAGATTGAAAAATTATACGGGAAAAAAATCTTGGCCAAGGCTAAGAATTGTAAAAATTTATAAAGTATCGTCGAGTCCTATTACGTGGTCATGCTAATTGAGCAATGTTGATGCAGACGCAGAGACGACCCAACGTGTGAAAAAGACTCCACTTGAAATTGCTCATGAAATTCTAGCAAAGAATGGGTATCTACTATCACAAGAGACAGCAATTAGTACTACATCTGCTCCATTCATGAATATGGAAAATAGGGACCAGCACGAGTGAAGAGATACAACGAGTTGATGCTACCGTTCAAAAGAACATGAGCACTTCGAGCTCACCGAAGACGCTAACAAAGGAACAATTGAACCTTATTGAGACAAGGAGACAAGAAGCTCTTGCTAGACGTAGACGGATCCAACAGGCTGCCAGAGCTCCTGTTTATTCTCCAGTTGTCATTCGACCCGATTCCGCTGATCATGGTTTGCAGTCAGTGATTGTTCCGATACAAGAGCATCATGTTTCTCCACCACAAGATCTAAGAAGGACGTCAAGTAAATCTGCTGGACAATCAAACAGTATCACGCACCGCGTCGTTACTCCCGAGAAAACTCCTACGACAAACAAAGTCGTTGAGACCGAACATGTGAGACCTCAGTGCTTTTGGGACGACCTGGAAGCGGCTGCGGAGATTGTCCAATGGGAAAATGAACAAATGGCTGAAGTGGCGCTCGAGCAACTTCCTGCGACGACAGCGACGAATGTTAACCAAGAGTTTGGTACTCTGCAACATGAAGTCAGACAACTTACAGAGGTGGAAACACCTAACATTCAGCCGCCTGCAGTCGTTTCTCTTTCTCAAGAGTTGCTCGCTGCTGCAGATATCATTCAATGGGAGAAGGAACACGAAGTGCCAGGTATGCTCTATAATCGCTTTAATTGCTATGATGATGAACCAACTCATGCGTCGAACTTCTTGAGCACACAGCTTTCAATAAACAAGGTGACAGCTCAGGTAGCGATCATGAGCTCGAGGCTCCACAATTTCAGCTGCTGCCTGTGCAGATCACCGACGATTGTGAGCAGCAGAACGAAAAACTTCCTGAAACGGTGCGTCCTCATGACAACATCATATCGCACCACGAGCCTCAAAGAAGTAATTTCCAGTCGAAGTCAAATGCTCATCGCAAGCGCCCTCTAGCAGCTTTACCGTCATCAGGTTACCTTCATTGCTGTGGACATTTTTTAGTATTTCTACAAACACTTAGCAGCTATTCCTATCTTACCTATCTTGCTAAACCTACTTTTAACCTACTCTACCTAATTATATTTGCCAGCTAGCGCCATGTCCAGCAAAGCGGCAACATCCAGTGAAAAGCACCAGCGCAACCCAACTTCATCGTGTTCATCTCTAAACCAGCGTGATCCAACGACGGAATTCATGTACGTCACAGCTCCTGCTTGTCCTTTCTTGCTAGTCCCGTCTAGAACCGTAGCTAAAAAATACTCTGCAGTGACAAGCACCTTTTAGAAGACAAGATCGAGTTTCCCATTCTCGAATTTCTCGATATGATGCTTGCTTAAGCACGTTCCCATATTTGATCAGCCAGCCAGTTGCAGCCCAACGTTTGTTAGCCAAGTAGCCTCCAGGCAAAGGAATACATTTCCATCATATTCTCAGTACGATATTGCTGCTGTTGAGATTCTCTCACTCATACTTCCGGCAGACGGGGTCAGCATAGACAAAGTGGTTTTCCCACATCACCAAGTCATTTTCTTCCGACGAAAAAGGGAGCACCAAGCCAATGCTGTTAAAGTTCTTAGCGCTGTCATATTCCACATTCACGTACTTGTCCGTTTCCTCCAACAAAGCATACCACAGTGATCGTGTTGGTGCATTTGCCTCTTCTTGCTTTCGCTGTCGCTGATTGTTGTAGAGAAAGTTGCCATACAGTCCAGAGAAGACGTGCTCATAAAGCACTGCAAGAAGCGTTTCATTGAACTCAAATGCCCATGGCTGCTGACGCCATATTTGCCATAATGCATCCAACCACTGGACGAACACGGGAGACTGTTCCTCAAGTTCCTGCTGGCCTGGCCCTTCACCCTGCGAGTATCTAAACCGAAAGAGATGGCCAAAAGAGCACCACTCCTTTTCAATGAGCTGCATTAGCCCTGTAAGTGTCCGGTAGTACGGATCCAGTAACAGCTGCACCATGGCCGTAAGCTGTGGAGTACGGTCCCACCCGTCACTGCAGTGAATCATCACGGACTCACTCTGGCACAAATACCGACAGATCTCCTGCGATGTGGTAAGGATACTTGACAAATGCAGAAACCAAAAGGTGTTTCGCAATTGAAATAACCACCCACTGCTTTCACGATCCTGCCCAGGCTGGCATACTGACGCTAACGATGCATATGATGAGCGCACAGCATGGATATTCGCAATATCACAAAAGTGAAGCTCCGTGTTCGGATACTTCCGTGGGTCTTCAGTGCCTTTACCTTGTGCCGAGTTGGCTGCTGCCGCCATTTGGCTTCTTGCATCAAAAAAATGAAACTTTGCGTCACCATACGCGCTCGTTGCGTGTTGCAGTGCCAACACCAATTTTTGGTCAGCCTCCACGACGTATCCACTTAGCCCGGTACAAGGCTGAGCACATCGACAAACAAGTGCCCTTGTATGCGGATGACGCCACACTACCGCCGGAATGCGACTTGCACTGCGATACGCGCTTAGCTCGCGCAGATCATCCTCATCCAGCACCGACGGAACCAAAAACACTTCTGGGTACGATGGAAACATGGTGTAGTCTGAGTTGTCATATAACCGCATCCAACTATCGTCGTCTAGCAACTTTAGCCGGCGATAGTCCTCTTCTGCATCATACAGCAAATCATTTGGTGTCTCGAGCCCCGTTCCGCTAGTCGTCTTCTCCTGTTCCTTGTGTCGCAGTGCTTGGTAGTGCAAGTGCGCGAAGAAATAATGTGGAGGTGACACACTAACCGAATAAAGCTCCCAGATACAGCTCAAGAAATCCGAGCAAGTAGCTTCGTCTTGGAATGCTAAAGAGGTGCGCAGAAGATGTTTGCCTTCAATATTGGCAACATGAGGCGCTGTGGTCGAGCTTTCAGCTCCCAGGATACACGCCAAAGGAATCTCCATCGTATCGTTCGTGCTAAGCGCTTGCCAAATGATACGGTAATTAGTAAGCACCAGTGTACCATCAATACTAAAATGCGGCGCTGTCCCCAGCACCATTTCGCCCACCAAATGCGTCACCTGCCCCACTCCTCGGAACGCGCCTTTCACTGTGTGTGTGCCTAGGCCTAGCATACCCATGCCTAGTCCTTTGGCAAATCCAAACACACCACCATTTGCTCCACCCTGGTACGTTTTATTCACGAGGCCAGTCGCACCTTTAAGAAATGCATTGCCAACACTTGTAGAAGCACGAAACAAACCTCTGCCCAAAGACCGCGTCGGGTGATTGTAGTCTCGTGTGAAACAGTTGTCAGTTTGCACCTTGTGGCCTGCAGCACCTAGTGAAGCGTACGAACGGGGAGGCGCTACTCTTCCAGAAGGCTCCTCACTCCACGCACTTACATCGCCGTCATCCTCGGATGAAGAGGACATGGCAAGTAATTCATGTTTCGAGTTCTGCTCTTCGCCGCTATCATCATCCTTGTAAAAGATAATATAGGCTGCATTGTCAGCTAGCAGACGTAATACCTCTCCAGACACCGGGTAGATATCGCCAATTAGAGGCTGTGACTCATCGGCCGGTTGTGTCAATTGGAACGTTGGCGTAACTCTGCCGCCATTGTAACTAAAGCTATCAAGACGCAGCATCGTTGGTGAGTTTATGCTCCGTGCGCTTCTCGCTGGACTGTTTGTATAGGATCCAGAAATTTTACTAATTGCGTCGTAACTGCCATAGCCGCAATTACTCATACTCACATGTGTGAGCCGAAAGGCCTCGTTCTCATAAATAGGGTAAAACGTGGTGGGTGTACCAGCATTACTGCTACTTTCGACACTACCAGTACCTCCACCACTCGGTATTGTGATTGCATCTGTAAACGAAAAATCATCATAGTCTCCCAAATCGGAAAAGCTACTGGACGTCTGCCGAGTAACACTCGGTGGATCAGTGCTCATTGCCGCATTCGTGTCAGTCTCAAAATCCAGTGCGATCGCTAGTTTCAACCGATCTTTTTCTTCTACAGAACCAGCACCTCCAAGTCCTATACATTCCTTGTCAGTCACTTTTTCAGCATCATAATTATCTTCACCTTGTTTGTGCTCCATAGCATTTAACTCTCGAGTCTTGTGTTCCTTTTCCTTGTCTTGCTCACTCCGAGTTTCCAAGTCTGAGTCTGTCTTTGTAACTATCTCTGAAGTCGGGAGAGTAGCAATTAACGACCTTGTCTCTGCCCTGTTTTTCACATGATCATCTATTTTTGTTGTGTCCAACTCGGCGTTAGAGCCATTACTACTGGACGAAGTAGACGACATGTTCTCCACTGGTCTCGCGTATAACACGTTTGTATACTCTGCCTCATCCTGGTGATGCTCGTCTCGTCCAAGTGGTGTACAAGACGTACCAAGTCTCTCCTCCTTCTCGTCAAAGCCATCTCGACATCCCTCTCGAGTCACATTAACGTAAAAATCACTCTCTCGCTCACTCGCCATTTTATCTTGCTGTAAAAAATCTCTCTATAATGATATCGTCCAGCTCTTTTTACCCTGTTTATATAATTAATATATCACATATTATTATTAGTAAATAATGGTCTCTCTAATCTAATAATCAACAATAATACAAATTGTCTCTTTCTTATCAATGCTCGTACGTAAACGGTGCTCCACTAGCTTTACTGCACAAATTACACACCACACAAGGCGTACTATTTTGTCGTTGACAAAGAGATAATACTCTTATGGGCTCAAATCGGGGTGACGTGGCGTCTACAAACGTTTTTCTCTCTCTTTTATAATATTTTATAGGAATTTGTTCCGTCGGTATCAGAAATATGGTATCACTTGGTAACCAATAAAACAAAACATCCCTACCCCTTTGCACAAATGAAAACAGACGGTGACGCGGTCGGGCTAGAGGTATCAGATCTGAGTAAACGTGGACATGTACAGACCCATTGAATTTCATACCCATGTTCGTCGATTACTAGTAGATTGTAGCCATTTCTCGTCGTTATCGGCATGACGTTTCTACTCGAAAGACAAGAGATCGAAGCTGAAGCTGTAGCTTTGCTGTTTGCAAACAAGAATACATACAATTTACAAGCCACTGATGATCAAATTGCTAATTACTTATCTACATACCTTAATGTCCTCAATATGCAGCCAAAACAATGACAATGTTCAGTTAGAACAGCTGATAAGAACCCAAAGAACAGGACAAGACCTCACCGTCACTTGGAAACTAACGATGACGAGCTTGTTTCTTGCTTGACAAACGCTTTTGTATCATTGAATTGGGCCATTACTAGTACTGGCGGGTGAAAGTCCATCAGTCCATCTATCCAGAGCTTCAACGACGGTGTCGAACCTCATTCCGACGCCTTGACGGTGCTGCCAAACAACCTGGACGGAAGTTCTCGCTCTTCGATAATTATCTCTCCTCCTGCTGTTTGCGTTTGTCCTTCTTCTTCGTCGTCATCGTCGTCATCCAAATTAATCTCTTCTTCATTCGCTACCTCCACAATCTGCTTCTGGCGCACACTCCTCTCTCTGTCAGGTTCTAGTGTTTCTCCTTTCCTCTTTTTCGCAGCGTCCGCTTCGTCAACTGGCGGCACATCAAGCTGTGCTTCCAAATTCGCCATTGCATCGCCTTGCAAGACAGGTGCTGGTGTTGATGCTGCAACCATTCCAGCAATCTTCGAAGACGCCCCATCCTGGGGAGCTATTTCCGACGCAACGTAATTTACTTGAGAGTATTGAGCCACCACAGATCGCTTGATGCGTAGCATTTCGAGGAATGTGTGCTCGGAGCCATGAGAGACTTCGAACTCGTGCCATATCTTCCAGAATGACTTTTCATGCTGCCGTGGGTCGCAGAATTGCGATGCATGTGCGTAGATGGCTCTTGCACGGTCAAACTCACCCAGCTTTGTCTCCATATCTGCAAACTTCAGACACAAATTCGGGACGCACTTGTCTGGCAGCTTCATGATGCCGCGCTGGTACACATCGCGTACTTTTGCCACACCAAAGAACTTTTGAGCCTTCTTCACGTACTTATCGTATATCGCAAGTTTGTCATCATCAGGCACAGCGTCGGATGCGCGCTCATAAATAGTCATCACATTGCGCAGCATGCCGTGCTGCTCTTCAAACTCGGCAAACTTTTCGTAAAATCCACAAACAGACTTAGCCGGAGCCGCACGAATAGCCTGTTCGCACAAATCACGAGTACGCTCAATCTTGGCACCAGCATAACGCTGCACAAATTTGGTCAGATAGGTCTGCCACAGATCCCCCGCATGCGGAAACTTTGGGAAGAGCGCCAAACCACGCTCGTACACCCGAAATGACTCTTCAAAGTACTTGTTTTCCTCCAGGTATGCCGCGAAGTTCAGCACCATCTGAGGCGTGATAATCTTGAGCTCAAATACCTCATTGTAGGCAGCACGAGTCGACTCGAGGTCACCAAGACTCTCTTCTAGATCTAAGTGCAGCGTCCACAATTTTACACTAAGATGCACATTGTCCTTGGCAGTTAATGCCTGCTGCTTGCGCAAACGAATAGTGCGTGAGGTTGGAATGGCGCATGCACCTCGCACAACTTTAAGCGCTTCATCAAAGTTTTCGTGCCGGAGTTCCAATTCCGCCCATTCACAGTACACAGCTGCGAGTTCCTGAGGGTTGCGAAATTCCACGTCTAAAGCCTTCTTAAAAATCGTACGAGCATTGCTCAGGTCTCCATGCTCGTCGTAAAGCTTTGCAAACCGGACCCACAGCGTTGGCAAGCGTCCACCGGACTTGACTGGGTCGACGATCTTAACTGCCTCTGCGTATGTGCGAATAGCCTTTGACAGGTCCGGCTTGACCAACTCCACACGTTTTTCCCATTCTCGTACGTTGTGGGGGTTTTGTCGCAGAAGCACCGAGTTTAGCAGCAGAGGTCGTCGTTCAGCCACATCCTCGTAGACCTTCAGCAACCGGTCAACCTGCGCTTGGTGGTCTACTCTGTCTTCCTCTTCGTCATCATCTTCTTCATTCTCTCCAGCTGCTAGATCCATCTCGGCCGTGAGCATAGCCTCAATAAACTTTACGTAAGCGTCGAAGATCATACTGAAATCACGCACAGTAACCACTGTGCGAATTCCCTCTTCGTACACATCTCGAGCTGACTCAAACATCCCAAGTCGAACAAAGTATGTCGCTAAGGAGCACCAGAGTCGTCCCACCTCGTCACTAAATCGTGTCATTCCACTACGCAAAATTGCTTCAACATCAAGTGATTTTGCCACACGCGTCGGATGTTGCGACACCATATCACAGAGCTGCATCCACATACTATGCGCCGTCCGGTTTGTACTCGTTTCGCTTTCTTGGGTCATCTCGATAAGCTTCACAAGCTCCACACTGGCCTCTTCAAAGTGCTCCACCGATACCAAATAGTCTACAAACTCTCCTCGTTTCGAAGGTTCCAGCATCAAATATCGTTGATATACACGCACCGCTGTTTGAGGTACGCCAATTTGTTTGACAAAAGCCAAGTACGGCGTCCAGATACGATAGTGCTGGGTAATGGGAAGCGCTCGGAGTGCTCTGTCAAACACATGACGACGTGCCGTCACCACGCGCATCTCCCGTAGTACATTAAGATACTCCAGCCATAATCTCGGCATTGTGGATAATTGAGCCAGCGCACGTTCGTACAGTACCACGAGCTGTGAGAATAAAGGCGAGTCTACACGTTGTCCACGCACTTGGGTCTCGTACATATCATCCAGATACAATTTCCAGAGCTTGTAGCTGCGTGGAAGAGTGTTTAATCCTCGCTCATAGACGCGATACCGAGCAGAGACGGGAGCGTCCGACAGAGCGCGGAGATACGAGATCCACGTCTGGACAGCAAATGGCTGACGTGTAACTTCCTCTTCGTACTCGATCAATGCGCCGTTGGCCTGGGAAACAATGTGTATTGAAGCAAAGAGACAAGTGAGAGAGCAAGTTAGTGTAGCGAGAGAGCGAAGGGATGAAGTAGGGTCAAGGCCGTACCGCCATTACAACAAGACTTTAAAATGACGACCTGTATTATGTAATGCACATAAAACATAAATTATTAATTACATAAATAACGAAGGGATTTATTCATCCCCCACCATTTTTGTTAGTAAAGCCATGATTTATTGCAGATTTTACGCTTTGATTTTTACGTTGATTAAACGATGTCCCCCACCTTTTTGTTATTTGGCCCCATTCCCAAATTTGCTGTAATTTTATAATTGGTCAGAATTGTTTTTACCCTTTTTTAAAAGTAGAAAGAGGTCGTCCATAAAAATGATCACTTTACCCATTAAAACCACAATGAACAGCCTTGCACCACCTCCACAGCTTGCATACATGATATGCATCCCTGAAACAAGCAAGAGCAGCAGTAGCAGTAGATGTAAAAGCAGTAAATTGAACAGACCAAGTGGGAGCTATGTTCAAATTGAAAAAAATGCGACATGATGACAGAAGCGTTATTACTTTTTATTTCGATGATGTTTCTCTATAATTCACCTTCGCAGCTTGGGCCTCATTTTCATGGAGAATATCCCAACAACGACACTATATACAGATGAGCCGCGGGTGCCAGGATCATTGCAGCCACTACACTGTCATCTCGATATCCAGGCCGCTTGTCGACTTTCCTCTTAGCTTTCCTCGTGACACTTCACAAGCTTTGTAGACAGGCGCTTCGAAAAGGAGCTGCCACGTACTATGCGGGCACACCCTCAGCGTAAAGAAGCGGTTAGAGTCCGTCGTGCGGTTGGTGGTGTTGGTCGGCGCTTAAAGCGCAGTACCAACTGTTGCCAGCCGCTTAAAGTGATCCGCGCAACAAGCTTTAGAACAAGCACCTACCTGCGTCACGGAATCTGTTTCCAGTCTTCTCGTGCGTAGTGAGTGCGATGTAGTAAATTCAAGACTGACTTTAAATAATAGACAATATAGTAGATTTATATTTAGTAGTAGAAATTAACTAGATATAAATCTAACTACTGATTGGTCTAAATGTAAAGATCGGATACGCGTCTCTTTGAAAGCGTATCCTTATGTGCAGAGCTTAAAACTATACTTAAGCTCGCTGATGACGTCTGCCTGAGGTGTCACCTAATGCCTAGTCTCAACTAAGGCGTCCATACCCTGTTGACATTTTGAATCCATCCATGGACATCACATTCACGAGAGTGGGTTACATTAATGTGCCAGCACCGAAGTAGGCAGGCCTAAAGCACCTCGTACCCATTTTTGGCCTGCCCGTTAAGTATTTGAGTACTTAACGGAATCGTGTAACCCTATTAGCCCGTTACACCATCCCCCTCTTTAAGACGATGTTTACATTTGTAAAACATTGAATATAGAGACGATGCCACCCAAACGTGGTAAGGCTGATGGGTCGCCTGCAAAGGCGCCCATGCAGACCAACACAAAGCGCACACGCCGCAATAACTCGCAGCCGTCGCTAAGTGTCTCTGTGAAACGCCAACACTAATGTCAGCTTGTCAGCAGAGAACACTGGTCCATCCCACTATGGTGCGGATGAAGACATGTCTCTCATTGTTGACTACAATGAGAGCACGCCATTGCCATCACCCCAAAGTGGTGATGAGCACAGTTCTTTAATGGTAATATGTCCCCATCATTTGAGACACCCAAACTTCAGGAATCTTCCATGTTTCCTGACTGCGAGGGTCATGCCTCATCGTCTACGCCAATAAGCGCAGCGACCACAACTGAGCGCGCTGCTTCGAAAATGACAGCCTCGACTCAACAGCAGGTCGGTGATTCTCAATCGACCGCCTCTGTCAATTTTACGTCTGAAGTCATTGACATACATGTAATGGAGATTCAAACCCAGGCTAGGGTGAGCAAAAAGCCCCTTCGACTTTACAGTCGGCCTCACTAGCACGTCGTCTCGAGGGCGACTACGTGAGTGATGGATAGTTAGTAATGCCCCGCCATGTAACGGGGCTAGAACGTACCGTCACTAGCTTACACGCGCGCTCTAGGAAGACTCAAGCCCAAGTATTAGGTATTAAGTAAATTTAACTCTGATTTTTATTTTGGTTTTAATTCGTACTAATTACGAAGATTTTAGTCGTAATAAATACGACAGTGTTCCCGCCTTTCGGGAACCACACAATTTCAGGTTGATGTATCATTGGTCCATATTGGGACTGTAGGCCCCAATAATAAACCACTGATGCCGGAAACACTGGACGGGAGTATCCCAAACTCGACCGTCGACACTTGATGCGGGAGCTCCTGCTCGGCCGCCGTAAACCCGTGTGGGAGCCCCTGCTCAACCACAGTATTCCCATGTGGGAACCTCGGCTCGACCACAGTGGGTGATGATGGGAATCCCGGTTCGACCATCATGCTCTCGCGTGGGGACTCCTGTCCGTCCACGTCACACTCGCTGGCGAGCTCTTGCTCGTCATCACAATGCCCTTGTGGGAGCCCCTGCTCGACCACAATAGGTGCAGATGGGAACCCCGGTTCAACCACTGCATTCTCGTGCGGTAAACCCTGTTCAACCGCATTAATGACGCGCGGTAACCCCTGTTCGACCGCGTCGTCCTCTTCGCTCTGTAGCGAGGAGTCACT